ATCTTACGTTGCTCACAGCGGTCTAATGATTATTTGCAAAGCTTCTTGCAAAGCTGTGACTTTGCTGCAGATGTCCTGGTTTAGTGTTTATCGTCCAGGGTGCTTACCGGGCTCCTCCATGTGCGCTATGATCCAGTTGAAGGCCATCTCGGGGCCCATGTTGCCCGTGTAGTAAACCGCCTTCCTGCAGGCCTCCAGAGGAAATCCCATCTCTGCCAGCTGCATCACGGCCGCCTCGTCTATTTCTGGGGCTGAGGACACAACAGAGCGGCATCAATAACTAAAACACACAGTCTGCTGATTCACCGGCGACGCTAACCCTTCAGTTTAAACAGACTCCCTCAGTGGGACTCATTAAACAGAGACGCCGGAGGAGCGTCGGCCCCGGGGACGTTTGCTTCATTGAGGGATGATTTATCAGGGAGAGCAATGAGTCTCGCCAAAATAAGCAGAGCTGCGTGGAAAAGTAAAGTTTGTCGCAGCACCTGCTCAGGTAAACACGGTCCCAAGTTTAGCTCGGCAGCATTCATCACTGCTGCCAGGAGCCAAAATACATCTTTCAACTTCCATAAAGGTTCGTGCAGTATGAAGAGGAAGAGAAATGAAATACTCACAGTCTATGGAGCTCATGGAGTTATCTGAAAGAGGAGGAGAAACACATTTGTTTTAGAGAAAATTAAAAGATTCACAGATGTATGTGTTGACAACACGCACGTTGGTCTAAACAGGATCCTTGATCAGACAAATCTGCTGCGACCTGGTGACCTTCTGGGCCTCCAGGGCAGCACTATGAAGGAGTTATAGACGTATGTTGAGGTTAAAGTCTGTCTTTTAACCTGCTGCATCACCATGGTAACTGATGCTGCACAGCTAACCCGCTCTGGAGGAGATTCTGCTCAGAGTTTGGGATTTAAATCGGCTGACTGGATTTTCTTTGAGATTCTCAGCTGATTTTAAAACGTGTTGAGATGCACGTAACTAATTCCCCTGAACGAAGCAGTGTGGGTTCAGTTACTGTCTGCATGCATTCAGGTGATGATGCAGAAAATGCAAAATTTATGATTTTTGTCGTTGGTCCTGATTTGCTGCAAAGTCGGTTTTACACTGCAGTTAATAGAATAAAAGTAGAAATCTGATGAGTCCACTGGGGTTTGACACACAGAATATTACATCAATAACACTATTTTTGCTTTAATTTGACCAAAAACTGAATGATGGGACCTAAATGTTTAACTGTGTGAAGTTTCAGAGCTCTAATCTGCAGCTGCACTGAGTCACTGAGCGGTAAAATAAATATATTCACTTAGAGCATCAACAGTTTTCTACCTGCATTCCTCTCCTGCATCATTTGCAGTACCAGTGCTGCTTTTTACTGGAATAATTCAGTATTTTCTTTGAAGCTCTGCCTGATAACAACCTGCTCCTCTGACTGACGTATGAATCGTGCTATTGGTTCATTTAGTGCAGAGGAGGTGATGCATTAAACGGGACATACAGAGTCTAATTAAGGATATATATTAACTATTCAGTGATTATCTTTGATTGGGGTTTTAGGTTTTGTTGAGCCAGCGAACATAAAGAAAGCCTGGATATGTTAAACTCAGTTCAGCCCTGCTGCAGCGAATATACTTTTTTTAAAGATTATTTAACATTTGCACCTTTATTGTTTAGGACAATATATATATATATAAACACACTGAAGCTGCGTCAACGTGGCGTGCACCTCAAACACTTTGCCACCAAACTGCTCCAAAAAAAAAAAATCTCGACCCTTTCCAGACGGAGGCGGCTGCCAGAAAACGCTGCCGGCGAGGCCTCGGGACCTCCTGCAGCGAGGAGATTGATCGACTCCTGCTGCTCCCAAACGCTGCAATCACAACTTCACAGAGTCCTGCTAATATCAGACAGGCAGCGCCTTCACAACGGCGGACAAAGAAATCCCGTCGGTGTGTGATTCCTCTAATCTGGAAAACATTATTTAATCCGCATGGACACGACTTGTTGTCATGTTCTGCAGAGTTAAAGACGGACCACGAACAGGACAGCAGAGTTTGTTTTTGTCTTTTTGTAAATAATACTCCACCTGACTGTTTCTTCTGAAGCCATTTTTAGCTCGCTATGTATTTGCAATGAAGCTCCGACCCAGTAAAGTCAGCAGCGGTTTATTCAGTCTCACTGTGCTGCTCACTGAGACGCTTTCATGTTTTCATTCGATTAAGAAAATCTGCAAAACACATCACGGCTCTTTGTAAATTGTAGGTTTGGGTTAATTGAAAATTGCCGAGAGGGTGATGTGTGTTCAATTCAGATCAGAAACTCTTAATTGTTAGTTTTGTGCATTGAAATAAGAGATAAATGGAAGCACACAAAACAATTTCATCCTCCATTTTCTAAATAGCCTGGAATAGCCGAGCGAGTCGATGATGAACTGACCGATGAGGAATAATGTGCTTCGGGCGGCGTATAGGAAAACACATTTGTGTTGCGTTTGTGATCAATGAGAAGCTCTGAGTCACTGCTGATGCCAGCTGGGAAAACAAAAACGTGAGCTAAATAAATCTGAGAATGTGGTGAAAACAGCACGTTACTCCCTCTGACCTCGTTTTCTTTTCACATTTGACTGAAGCTGGAAAAAAAAAAAAAGCTGTTTTAGCGTCCCGTCTGTAGAAACAGAAGCTCCCAGAGAATCAACAGAGCTGATTCAAGCTCACTGTAAAATTAAACAGACGTTTACTCGCGTTGTGATGGAGTGATTTCCACCAGAAGTTCTGCAGTTTGCTTCTGTCGGGTGCAGATTTGCAATACAGCCAACAAAAAGGTAGCTTTAGCTCAAAAAAAGAGCAGATAAACACTCAGATAAACAGATTTATTCTTTCGTTTTTGTCCTCTGCAGCCGGATAAACTATTTCGTGACACATCGGCAGAGGTTCTCGATGTGTGAAGCAGCTCTCAGGCTGTGAATTTGCTCTTTTGGACGTGTTCCTGCGTTTGAAACAATCCGGGCCACTCTGTGCTTCGCATCTGCTGAAATATTAAGGAGGACGCTGATAACTGGATGCAGCCACAGAAGGAGGAGAAGAGATTGCAATCAGGAGCAACCATAAGGAGGAGAAGCTTCAGTTGTTGGGAGGACAGGAAGATTAAAAAAAACTGTACTTAATACTGGAAGAAGAAAGTTTACAGAAAAGCCGCAAAAAACACTTCCTTGAGCTCTAAAACACAACCTTCCAGCAGCTTTTTATTCCCCGAGCCCGGTGAAGTGCATTACAAGGGGATCTCGTGAAATCATTAGAACTTATTAGGCTTAGCCACACTGTGAACACAACAACTTTGCAGTAATTGATTGAGCATGCTTCCCCCCCGGGACTCCATTCAATACGCCCTTAAGAGAGAACTTTGGTGGCTTTGAGCAGAATATCATATTAGAGACAATTTCACACATGATTTGAGGCACAAAAACACCCGACACCTGCCGAGGAGGACGTCAGGTGGCGTTACTCCCCGAACCCGGCGACGACTTTTCATGTCGCAGATCTGGAGTGGAGAACAAAGGCGCCGGCGCTCAGGGAAATCAGTGCCCTTTAGAGTTAATAACACGACTGTGAAATCTAAAAAAAATGGGCAAAAAAATGCCCGCAGTAGTTAAACGAGCTGTTATACTTTTCAGTTTTGTTCTCAAGCATGACTGCTAATCCGCCTGCAGGCCGGCGTCGGTGATTCATGGCGGCCGTGAGCAGCGAGAAAAAGATCTGATCTGGAAAAAAAAAAATCTGGAGCAGAACCAGAATGTTGGTGTTTGTGCACGGAAATGAAAACGCAGCTAAATGTCAGATTAAAAGGCACTAAAAGTGACCTTTGCTGTGTTTTCTTGAAAAGTAAAATGTGTGGCACCGACACGCCTTCATAACCGTCTGTAATCGGCCTCATGTGTTGGTAAAGTTCAACATGAAGACGGCATGGAAGCAGCTTGGAACTCTGGACGTATAAAACCAACACAAAGACCTCGATGAACACCAGTTTTTGTTTCCTACTAATGAGTCAACGATTTGTCAAAACAGAAGAAAAAAATGGAACTTTCTACGGATGTTAGAGGCTTAAAAAGTTGGTGAAATGTCGACCAAAGACTGTATTCTAGTAGAAACATGGCTCCATCCATGTATGTACACTTACAAAAGCCACATATTCTTTATTTTATTCCATTTTACACTTCCAACACTTGAAGGAAACTCTTTCATCTGTGTCCAAAATAATTTCAAATTGGTCTCAAAATGTCCTAAAGTTTTCAGATTAATCAGAAAATGTCAAAATTGAAACTAAATTAGTCTAAAATGACTCAAACGTTGTCCAAACTGATTCAAAAATGGTCCAAAATGACTAAAAAACTGGAATCTCGTCTTGTCATACATCAGATCCTACTGATGTTAGAGCCTCAAAGGTTGGTGAAATGTCACGTAAAGACTGTATTTTAGTAGAAATATGGAACCATCCATATATATGTACACCTACAGGAAGCTTCTGTAACCACAATACCACCCTCATTTAATCATTTTCATTTTATTCCGGGCCAATACTTAAAGGAAACACTTTCATCTGTGTCCAAAATCATTTCCTACTGGTCTCAGAATGTCCCAAAGTCTTCAGATTAATCAGAAAATGTCTAAACTGAAACTAAATTAGTCTAAAATGACTCAAACGTTGTCCAAACTGATTCAAAAATGGTCCAAAATGACACAGAACTTGCCCAGAATGACTAAAAAAAAACTGGAAGCGTGTCTGGTCAGACTTTAACACATCAGATTCTACTGATGTTAGCGTCTCAACAGTTGGTGAAATGTCGACCAAAAACTGTATTTTTAGTAGAAAATATGGATCCATCCATGTATAGATGCACTTATTGGAACTTTCTGGGGTCCCAGAACCACACGGGTGTAAAAACTTTATTCCATTTTCCATTTGCCAATAACTATCTATCTTTGTCATTTTGGTCAAATCTGACTAAAAAACTTTTGCACACATCAGATTCTACTGATGTTAGAGCCTCAAAGGTTCGTGAAATGTCGACCAAAGACTGGATTCTAGTAGGAAATATAAATACATCCAGATGTATGTAAACTTAGAGGAACTTTCTGGGTTTCAAATATCAACCTCAGCAGAAAACTTTGCCATTTTCAGGAGTAATAAAAAAAAAAAGGCATCTGCTGGATCCATTCAATCATTTAGATGTTGCAGGAAATAATTTTGTTTGTGTTTTTAATAAATTTCATGGCTCTGGGAGTTTTATTTATGGAGACATTTACACCAAAACAGTTCCTGCAAACTGACCCACGTTCTACTTTGAACCGGCGAGCGGTCGTACCTCTGGTGTCTTCAGGTAGCACGATGGGAGGCATGAGGTCCGGCAGCTCCTCCTCGCCCGCCTGCAGCCCGGTGGCCCGGAGTCGGTTCAGGTCCAGGAAGTCTGGAACGTCGATGGCCAAGTCTGCACCAGAGCAGAGACGAAGGCATCAGCATGAGGTGATCTCACAAACATACGGCGTAAAACCAAGATTGAAACGGTCAGAAAGTAGAGTTTCTGCATCTTAAGCTGCTAAAATGCACACATTTGAATCTCTGCACTGTGGAAAGTGATGCGAGGAACTTAATCCCACCAATTAATTAATTAAAGGCATAATTGCAAGATAAACTGTGCAATTTACTGATTTAAATAAATCTTTTAAGTTTCAAACATGATTTTTTTTAATGTTGACATAATGGAGCTGCATCAACTTAATATTGTGTCTAATTTAAACTCATATTCTGCATTAACTGATTTAAAATTAATTCAAGTTGGTGTAACTTAAAGAAACTTTCTTGATAACTTTCATTTTCTCATCCAGACAGTAAAGTTTGTGAGTTAAAGCATCAAACAAACACGCTAAAATGGACGTTTTAAAGGGAGAAGCAAGTCTTTTGCAAATAAATTAAACTTAAGTAGTAAAACTTTCAATTGCGGTACACTATAGCCGTGTTATCTGAGCTGTATTTGAAGTATTTCGTTTATCTTTGCTCACTGATGATGGCAGTTTGCTTTTGTGGATTCTACAGACTTGAAATTAAACTTTTGTGACTTTAAACCTGCCTAAAAGCAAAACCAAATTGGTTAGATCGACGTCACAATTAATGCACATTTTCTGCTACGACCCAACTGCTAATAAAATTACATTTTCCATTTTCAGTCCTTTAAAAAAAAAAAGTTTTAATTTGCAAAAACAATGGGAAAGTTCAAGGTAGCCTTTCCTCAACATTAAGCTGCAGTAATGCAAACTGTTCATTTATAAATAATGGAATAACTGAAGTAAATCCAACTTAAACCAGTGCAGCGGCATTAATAACACTCGTTAACTTAGTTTGGATAAACTTTCACCACCTGAAGGGATTCATTGGGTCGATCCTTTCTTTTCAGTGTGAGACCAGTTAAATGTTAAACTCTGTCTTTCACAGGATCAGAGGCTGTAGTTTATGACTATGTGGGTAAAATAACAGCTGAAGCCGTTGTTTAGTCGTTCTCTAATGTATTCATACCTTCCCAATAAAGAAGTAAAAAAAAACAGCTGTCACTGAAGTAATTTTTCTTTTTTAAAAATTATTCTTTTCAACCAAAATTCAAAAGCAACATCTTACTTCACCAAATTATAATTTAGCAAATTTTTATTTATTATTACTTTTTTCAGTTTCTACTTATTTCAGTGACTATTGGGAGTTTTTCCTTTTCTTTAATGGAAGGTTATGAATACATTTGACTGTAGTTTCATCTTCAGCAGCTTCAGCTGCGTGTTGCTCCTGAACTGTGGTTTGGTGGCGCCCTCTGCTGGACGTCTACAGCAACACTCAAACTAACCGAGTCCCAACACTGGTGGAGGTCAATAAAAGCCTTTTTCAACCTCATTAATCATTCATTTAACTCGGTAGTTACCTAGTTTCTTCGGCACCCAATCAACCCCGAATGTGAATTTCTTGATCTGCACAATCAGATACTCTGGAAACGAGGCGAACCGGGACGTCCTGGAGGGAAAACAACAACGACACAAAGTTCAGAAACACAACACGTGAGGTGATTAGGACTCCGAGGTGTGCAGTGGTCCCTCCGAGGACTCACTTGACGCCGGCTGACTTGGCCTGCAGCGCTGAGCTCCAGAAGTCGGGGACGTTTTCGGGCTCGGTGAAGGCCTGCAGGCAGGCGGTGAACGGGATCCGAGCTCGGACGGGTTCAGGAGGAGCCCTCATGTTCTCCTCGGCCTCCTTACGCTTGGCGTCGTACGCCAGCAGCTCCTCTGGTGGCGTGAAAACAAAGATGTGATGCCCATATACTGTTCAGAACTTGGAAAACAATTTAAGGAGTAAATGTAGAATTTAGGTTCCTCGTCTTCTCTACATTTAATCATCTAATTTAACGAAGAATCAACCAGAACCTTCCACCTGATCTCCTTAGAATCAGCTCATTTTTTATGTGCAATCATTTTAGTATATTTATTAAAGGCATTCTAAGTTTTACCTTCATACTATGAATATTTTCAGAGCCTCTGAAGTGCATAGAGAAGAGTGCAAATTCTGGGCTTTTTAATTCCTGTTTCTTTTTCCAGAAACATGAAACTTCTGAGGCTAAAAAAAACACGTTTAAGTTCTGTTTAAAATTGCAACCAAATCAGTTTTACATCCATCCAGGAGTCACAATCTACAGACTAAATATGCTTTTTGCTTATTTTTTTCTATAACTAACTTTGAGCAGCAGTGTTGTGGTGATTTTAGAAAACTTTCGTGGAATTGTGAACAAGTTTTTGAGCCATTATGAACATTTTTCAAGTAGTTCTGGACATTTTTTTTTTATGTTTTTTGAACAATTTATAAGTAATTTTGAACACATTTTGAAAAATCTGAGTTAATTCTTGTAGAAGTTTCGATGATTTTCATGTAATTTGAGCATTTTTTTGATAGAAAACACACTTGAGCTCTGCTAAAATCTGCAACCATAATTAATTGTAAATCTTAAAAATGAAATCTGGTTTTTGTTCATGTTTTTTCTACAGCCAACTGGTAGCATCAGTATTATGGGATGTCTCATAGTGTGAACAGTCAGACTGCAGCAGTTTTATGTCTATGAGTCATAGAGTCATAGAAACAATCATTGGTACCCTGGATGTGTTTCTGGTTTCTGATCATTCACCAGAGAAAATTTTACAAAGTGCATTCTGGGTAAACTTTCAAGGCTGATGGTGGTTGGTCAGAACAAGTTCTAGACAATGGAAGGATCATTTTACCTCCAGAAGATACCAGCTGATCATCTTCTAGATATGATTCAATCTGTGGCAAAATCATTTTTTTAAATGTGTTTTCCAGCCGTCCTGCTCTCCTGCACTTATTAAGCTTTGAGCGCTCATAATTCAGTGTACTCCGGTGCACTTCAAGGACCTGTAGCTCTGAGAACAGTCACAGCATGAAGGTAAAACTCTGCATGGCTTCAATAAATATACTGAAGTTACTGTACGTTTAAATCAGCTGATTCTGAGGAGGTCGGGAGGGATTTTTTTTTTTTTTTTTACTGAATTGATTGATTTTTATGAAAGGATTCTACTTTAAAATCACACAAAAGCTTTGTCACATTACTCCAAGCCTTGAATGTGTCACAACAGCTCGTATATGAGGCCACAAGCCGACGGTGTTAAAGGCAAACTGTCTGAAACGTCACAGCAAGAACCTGCTGATTCTCCACCTGAGCTCAGGTTGACGCAGCTGTGTGTGTGTGTGTGTGTGTGTGTGTGTGTGTGTGTGTGTGTGTTTACCTCGATTAGTCGCCGCCTCGATGGGAGCCGGCAGCTGGATGCAGTAATCCACCCGCTGAGTGTAACGAACGCGACGGGTCTGGCAGCACTGAACTCGCTCCTCCACCAGGAAGCGGAAGACGTCGCTCGGGTTCTCTGACCCGGCGCTGTTCCTCTGCGGAAACAACGTTTACGGTTATCAGACACTGTTTTATGAACCTCTAAACTCCTAAATCTACTGGCAGATGACTAATTAGACCATTTATCAGGTTTAGAAACTGTTAAAACAGAATGAAACGTCAGATTTCAGACGGTCCTTGAACTAATCGTGTGTGAGATTTCATCAAAATTGCTTTTTTTCTACATCTCTCTTTAAAAACTTGTCACAGATGCACCGTTTGCACTAGTTAGATTCTGTAAAAAACCAAAAATTTTGCACTCTTTCATGCAACCAGGAACTTGTTATTGGCTCTGCTGCGATAAACAGTCTTGAGACAAAAATTCAGGGACTTTTCGGCTGAACTGCAGCAAATCAGAGAAAAGCAGGAAAATAAATAAAAAAAAATCTAAGTAGTAAAATATCTACAGTTGTTGAGTTTATTTTCCCACTGTTGGTAACACCTGCAGGAAAAAATATTCTACATGTTGATCCAGGTGTTGCCCATTTTTGCACAATAAAAATCAAATAATTTTAACTTCAGGTCTATTTTCCTTTCTTATGATTTCCATCATTCTGACTGCGTCATGCTGCACAAAAGACATTTCTGAGTTCTTTCTCCTTCTTCATGGTTGTTCTGCTTCCACGGTGGTGCAGGACTTTATTTTGCAGATAGAAATGAGCCACAGTGAGGAAAAATGTGACGGAAGTAAACAAATAAAAAAACACCCAGAGACTGTAGAGACTTCAGAGGGTTAAAGAGTGAATATCCTCCACAGTAAAGTCGATTAACAGTTAAAATCTCCAACAAAATTGTGATTTCTTTGCACAAATGTTTCCATTAATTCTTTGTTTTTAATAAATTCCTAATAACAGTCACCTTCCCTCCAGTTCTACTGAATGTTCTGCCCTGACTGAGTGTTTTATGGCCAAAACGCTGCTTTTTAAAGCGGAAACTATGAATGTTTCTCTGTCAAAACGTTCAGTATCAGTCACTGAAAAGCTCCACAAATAGAGCGACCTCAAGTACAGCAGAATCTTGGAAAGAGCTGCACAGAAGTTAGATATCCATCACAAACCTGACAGCAACATAATTCAGACCTCAGCTCCGTCCGGTGCTGTGATCTATTACGTTCTGCTGGAGCGACTCCAGCACAACTGCGGCTTTGACCCACATCTCTTAACGCAGACATCCGACGTATCGATGCGACTCTTTAATTCGGGAACCGCCTCAATTAGCCTCCATTACCGAGGAGCTGCGTCTTTCCGCATCAATCAGCGTCGAGGTGTTCGCGGCGTTTATTTGGAGGCCGTGATGAAGGTTTGCTGCATGCTGCAGCTCGACCCGGCTATTCTGAGGAGCTACGGAAATACACGAGTTATAATTTAACTCGGGCCAAGCATGTCGGGTGACACAGAGCGAGGGAAATGTTGCTGATGGTCGGGTTGTCTATGTCTGGATCCCCGGATCAGTATGTAGCTCACAGACAGCTGGAGGAGGAAGGAACAGACCCGAGGAGACGGTTTAAGTCATCACAACAACCTATTATTTAAGTGTTTGAACAGATGACAGGAAAAGCATTAATGCTGTTAGAATCCGGTTCGTTGTGTTTTGTTGACGTCGGCAGCGGGAGGCGGAGGCAGCGTCGGGTTTTAGTCGGTCTCACAGAATAGGAAGCATTATCTGGCCCGGCTGTGTAACCGATAGCACCGAGCTAAATATATCCTGGTTGAGAAAGACATGTCAGAGCGGCTCAAGTGAATGAACCAACCCGGGAGACAAACACAGAGCGTCCCCTTCCAGCGGGCCTGGTTCTGTGGGTCAGGGGTCGAACAGAACCCCCAACATCGTTTAAAGGAAACGACATGACTGTAGCGGGTAGAATTTACAGAGACAGTTGGAGTTATCGTCCACTAAACGCCACTTACAATGTTGATTATTGATTAATTGAACTATTTTGAAGACTGATTCAGTGATCAGTTCTTTGTGTGTCCTTTTTTAAATCTCATTAATGTTTTTTAATATTTTTTAAGCACTGATTTTTGGTGTCATTTTGTTTTTTTCTGAGCAACATCTGGCTCAAGAATTTTTTTATTTAGAATTACTTAAGTTTTATCTCATCTTTAAAGAAGGGAAAAACAAAGTCACATAAGGAGGTTTAAATTTGGCGGCTCCACCGACCTCCACCAGGTTGACGACGTGCAGCAGGAACTCGTGGGCGTCCTGCTGCCGGTTGGAGGAGAACTCCGGGTGTCCTCTGCTGACCAGAGCCTTCAGCATCCGCGGAGAGACGCCTTTCTGCTGGTGCTGGAAGGAAAACACCAGCGTCAGACTGAACATCTACACGTCTACACCTGAGTGTCAAACAACAACAACAACAACAACAACAACAGCACAGCAGAGGAATGTGATCGTATGGTGGCAGAAAAAAAAAAGAGAAAATCTTGATCTCCAGATTCCTAAAGACCTGAAGAAGTATTATTTCAAAGGTTAGTGAGAAAGAAAAACAAAAACAGGAAATTAACTACAGAGTAGGTGGAGGATTTCCTGATGCAGTCACATAATGAACATCTATAGTTAAATACCAGCAATGTTTGAGAATTAGACTTTTAATTTACCGTAATGTCCGGACTATAGGTGGCTACTTTTTTCTCACACTTTGAACACTGCAGCTTAAACAACGATGCGGCAAATTTATAGATTTTTTACGAGTTTAACGAATTTGCCCCGAGACCAAAGTGACATTGACAGCGACGATGAAAGAGAGACTGAGGAAGTGTGTGACGAAGTAATTCTGAGGCTGACTTTAGTGGTTTTAGTGCAGGAGGAAGATGAAGATAGCGATCAATGACTTTTCCTGGTAGGCTGCTGTAGTTTTTATTTTCTTAACCAGCCGTGTTACAGGCACTGTTCAGAAAAAAGCATCTATGTATTTGTGTACGTTAACGGTACGTATTTAATTAAAAGTTTTTAAAAAATGTGTTTTCTTTTTAAAGTTAGTGGGTGCAGCTGATATTCAGGTGCCCCAATAGTCCAGAAATTACGGTAAGTAAACAACAACTAATCAATAAAAAAGTTAGATATTCATATATTGTGAATATTGTTGGCTAATCACACAATGTGATGCTATAATCTGTGCTGCTACTTCACATAACTAATAGACCTATGAGGGAAGTAAAACAATTAAATTCCGTCACAATTGACTGAGAATAAAAAACCGTTTTTCTTCCCCCAAAATAAAAAGCCTTTACAGAGTTTCCCTGGAAGCTTCTATAGCACAGAGACGTACTGTATTATGGTACCAAAATTTTGTATTTTCTCATATAATCCTGTAAATATACTTATGAAACTGCACAAATGGATTTATTCTAAAGCATAAATATCTTTTACATGTTGAAAATCTACTGGAGAGAGAAAAAATGTGTTTTTTACATCCTTACAGCTCATTAATCCTCCAAAATGTTAAAACACTGCTGATTAATTACAGCATCCGTACTAATAAAAGTGACTTTCGTATCATTTTAAATATATTACTTGATTCTGTGCTCTCTGTTAAGTCACTCCTTAAAACACATTTTTATCGGAGAGCTTTTCCTGATTTTATTCAAGTTTGATGTTTTATAGCTTCTTGCTCTGTTTTGTGTGATTTCTTATTTTATTTCAATTTTAAATTTATTTTATTAAAAAGCACTGCTTTGAAACGTGCTCCATAAATAAAGTTTATTATTACATGATTACTTCTCAGTAGTTTGTGCATCATGTGCAGCATTTAATCTCATATTTTAATCACTAGCATGTGTGATATTATTTTTTACTTCAGTATAACTGCCAGTATGACTTTTTAATGTTCTATCTGAGCCGTATTTTATTCTTTTATTTCAGTATTGTTTCATACTTATATCCTGTTGATTTTCTACTTTTTAGGCACTGATCTTCTTATGTTGTGTCGCTTCAGGACTAATAAAGTTTTATCTCGTCTTATTTTAACTTGTGTTTTTAACTTTTATAGCATCGGTTCATCGTCCAACACTAATCGCTGCAGCTTCATCGTCCAGGTTGATGTATGATGCAGATAAAAAGTCGTATTTGTTAATAATAATTAATAACAATAAGTGACATCATCCAGCTACAGCAGAAAACTCCCAGCGAGTCAGTAACAGAAACACACCAGCACCAGCCCTCCTCCCCCCTCCGACGTCTCTCCAGCTGTCAATACGCATCCAAACCCGACTCCACCATCACATGTGTAGGAAGTTCAGGATCACGGCTCTGCGCTATCAATTACGGAGGCCGCCGCCGAGGCTTAAAAGAAGCTTAAAGAACCAGCGCTGGCTCCCATTAATGACTTTCCCACTCGGAGGTCCAGGCACCGGAGGGCAAAAGGGCAACAACTCAGGTTAGTAAAGAAAAACATGTGAAGAATATTTGGGAGCTAATGTTTGGGACAAAATTAATTTAAAAAGCTAAACAGTGAAGCTGCTTCGGTCCAAAAATAATCTGCCTGAAGGTTAAAAAAAAGAAAAGGTCAGAACAGAGAAAAACTGACAATATTTCTATAAACACTACCATCAATCAACTCCTCTACAAAAAGCTCGGATGTGTTAATGACACAGAAGAGCTGCATGAAGTCTGAGACATCAAACTGAACAGACTCAGTTATTATTCGCATGCTTCTGTCAGTTGCCAGTTTGGGAGCTGGACATACCCAGTTTAATACCTTGTATTCTTCTTTCATCACCTGTTCAATGAGCTCAGATTTCATGGGCGGTTTGGCGAACTGGCCCGAGAGCAGTCCGTGTCCCAGTTTAGCCCTGCAGGAGGGAAAACACAGGCGTCAGCACGCAGCAGAATCAGGCCCGGTTGAATCGGGCCCGGTTGAATCAGGCCCGCTTGAGTCAGGCCCAGTTGAATCAGGCCCGGTTGAATCGGGCCCGGTTGAGTCAGGCCCGGTTCGGCTGTTTCTCATTTCTGTTGGTTTCTGGATGAGACAGCCTGAAGCCTCAGTGAGCAGAGAGAGAAAAAAAAAAAAACTTCAGACAGAACTCCTGGAGCTGCTCTCGTGAGGCAGGTATCAACGCCGGCGCGAGTTCAAACTCGGAGCAGTTGCCATGGTAACCACCACCACCACCACCGACAGCACGTTTTTGTTACGAGGAAATAAATGATCAGGTGTAAATATCTTGTCTCCAGCTTCTCCTAAATCCTCATAGTTGTTCATCTTCTAATAATTAGTTCAGCTTTTAATTGCTGACGCTCGTTAAGCGATCGTCTTTTGTGCAGAATTTATTAGTGAACTCTGATATAATTTGCACAATTAAAGGACGGAAACCTCTTTTAAATATATATTTAAGTCTAAATCTTGTATTCCCCCCCCCCCCTTAATCCAAACAAGAAGCTGGATTCACATGTTGCCGGAAGAGTTTGTTGAGAAGGGTCATGTTTCATCATCACACCAAATAAACAGATTTTTGTTGACAGGCAAATACCAACAGGCATCAACATGTTTATCAGCTGATACCAGTCTTGCATCACAGCAGCTCACATGAGGAAACACACCAGAGTTCTGCCATAAAACATCGGGCTCATATCGGACACGTCTGTTGCCTAAATTTAAAAAACTCACAGGTCATATTATAGAAATAATCACACACTAAAACAAAACCTTGAGCGGCTGGAGAACGCTTCGTCCTGTTTGTGCGTCGCAGCGCTGCGTTGTGTAACTCTGGACTCACTTACATTTGTGTGGCGAAGTCCTGGGAGGGGTCGAGGGGCGAATAGTCAAATATCCTCTGCAGATTACCCACATACCTGGAGATCAAAACACATGTCAGACGCAGCACGTGGACGTACCAACCTGCAGCCTCGTGTTGTATCACGTCCGCTGGTTTCGTAAAGACGCATCAATAACTTAAAGTCACACAGGACGCACAGGAGTTTAAAAGTTTGGTTTCTTGATGCTGTTTTTTCAATGATTGGTCATGATTAAATCCTTAAAATCACACTTTAAATGTCATTTTTAACTGTGAATCTGCACTTTAAGCGATTACCTTTTGACCCTAATTGCAGGATCTCTTTGACAGCCGACAAATATATTCATTACTTCATTAGAAATTCTTGTAGTTGCAAAAGTCTTCCATGTTTTTACAGGATTTTATCAGCCAAAGACACATAAAAGAAACGTGATTTTGCTTTTACCTTCGCAATGACGGCTTAAAATCAGCCTTTAATGTGCAAGTTTTATATTTTCATTTCTCATTTGTGATATTTTTAATTACATGTGCAGCATTTCACTTCCATGTACAACATTTTCAAATTAATGTGCAATATTTCATTCTCCTTTCATTTTCCAGGCGCAGTATTTCATTACAGCGTGATGCTACTTCTGCATAATTACCAGCATTAATCTTTAATTCTCTATTCCAGCCTTATTTTAGACACTTTTCTTTTCATTTCAGTAATGTATGGTGCTTCTATCTTATTGCTTTTCTAGTGTTCAGGTCATTTTTCTTGATCTTATCTTATTTTATCTTACACAAAAGTCATATGTTACACTAATTAAGGATTATCCCTGTGAACAGCAATAAATATTCTGCAAAAATAAAAGACATTATGTCCTGCAGTTCATTTAGATAACACAAAACAATAAAACACATGCAACAGAGCACATATATGTTTAGTTTTATTTCTAGATTTGCTCTTATACGTTGCATCCAGAGCAGTTTCCCCCCCAGCGTATGCTACTCACATCCTCTGGAAGTCCGGGATGCTGAAGAGGACCTGCATGACGGTGCCCAGGTAGCAGCTGTTTCCCAGGTTCTTGATGCCCGTGTAACCAGAACCGAAGACGGCCTTCAGCTTCATGCCCGACTCCTGGATCACCTCCCACTCGCTGACCCGCGGCCGGGAGTTGTTGTCTGTGTGGTGGCCGTTCTCTGTCTGAGGGGGAGGAAGCAGCTCAAGACTTTTTCTGTTGCACTTCACAGGTTATTGGATGCTGATATTAAACCAAACTCACTCTTTTCTGCATCTGCAGCATGTCTATGCCAAAGTGTGACAAGTGCTCTGATATGTGAGGATCCAACACGGCCTCCTCCTCCTCGAACGAGTAGACGTCTGAAATCAAAAAACCCGGTTAGTCTCCACGGTTACTCCTCACCCAGCTCTGCAGAAAGTTTGACAGATTTCTGCTGATGATGGATGTTCGATAAGTATGAACCGAGGCAACGTTTACATCTGTGCCTCAATAGTTTTCAAGGCTAAATGCTCTAATTAATGTTTTATTATTTTGCTAGCTTTGCTTTTTAACATTTTATCCAAGTTTCCTATTTGTGCTCCTTCATCTTTTATTTTCTTACTCATACTTCAACGTACTCTGAGTTCAAATAAAAGCTTATTTAGATTTTAAACTTCAGCTTTCAAAGTGTGCCGTCTCTATTTTTCATTGCAGTACATAAACGGCACCATGCAACAGATGCGGGTCGGCGCCGACCTGCTCCGTCCGGGGTGATGGTGTCCAGCTTGACCGCCAGCGGGTGGTTGGTTTCCCTGTAGTGCTCCAGAGCGTGGCCGTTACCGCCGCTTCCGTCGAAGAACCACTTCCCGCAAAGCACCGCTCCGTCCGTCAGGTTCAGCCACAGGTTCTCCCTCAACTCGCACTTCTGACATTTCCAGCCGCTGACGGCGAAGAAGCAGAAAATAAAGTTGTTGAAAACCCGCATTCTGTCAGAATTAAAGCTTGATTCTAAAAAGACTGGACAGAAAAGTAAAGCAGAAGGAGACACGGTAATGCTGACAGATTTAGAATTATGATAAATTATACAGTCATGAGGAGCCTCCGAGGTATTATTTTGCAAATAAGTAAACGTGTTAGAGGACGAGAAACAGATAAAATAATTAAATTATCAAAAATTAGCAGGTAATGCCCAATTACATTTTCAGATTTCAGCTTTTCTTTACATAAAATCATGTACAGAAAAGCACCGATTGCCAATAAAGTAGCTCACAGCAGCTTTTCAGTTCCTCCAAAACCAGTGAAGGAGCATTTGGATGAGTTTTCAACATGTGAATATCCAGTGATCCAAGCTGAACTTCTATTTCTAACAAAGGACGGTCCAACCAGTGCTGAGTATGATTATACAGTTGGCATGAAGTGGGTTATTTTAATCACAATTCACCAAATTATCCACTTAAATGTCGACAAACAGTCAGAACATCTTCATAGTAAAGCCTTCGTGCTCAATAGAACCTGATCGATGCTAGATTTTTGGGGCTGATATTAATTTTAGGGAGTAAGAAATAGATGTTCTGTTTATATATTGTATGTTAGAGATAAACGGAAAAAGTAAAATGACGGGTTCATTGTTTATTGACTAACGTATTTCACAAACACGCATCTGCTCTGCTCATCTGTGGCTCTGCTACATGTGCTGCTGGAAACATGGAGCTGGACAAACTGCATGATGACGCCGTTTCTAAATTACATCTTTTCCTGTATCATGTTCTGTAAAAAAAAAAAACCCATATTGGATAATTGCACAACAAATTCAGAAATATTTATGATTTTTTTTTGGATTTATTGCTCAAATCCAACATTTTAGTTATTTCTGTTTAGACTATTTTTATAAATGCAGCCAGCTTCAGATTTTAATTTAAGTAAACTGACCTGCAAAAATACAAGAAGTCACCCACAGAACACCTTCATACAGAAGACCGATGTTTACAAGCTGATGTAAACTAATTCTAATGACTTTTATTCTCAAACACAGCAAAAGCAAAGGTATCAGTGCTTCTTCTCTCGCTGCGTCTCTGTGATTAACATGTTTACAGAATGCACTCATTGCTCAGAAACTCAAGAACAGTGCAAAAAAAAAAAAAGTATGTTCAATAAAGCTGTATTTGGATTATTTATGGTTCCAGATGCTGCCGACTGAGGCTGAAATCTGACCTGTATCTGATTTAGCATCACATGAAAATGGTGATCAGCTTCTCTGTGATTTAAAAAAAAAAAAAAAGGTGTGACAAAGCCTAAATTCACCAATAGAACTGAGAGTTGAACAACATAAAAGTTCTGTTTTCTAATCCTCATCAGAGCAGAAGATCCAAGAGATTAAACCAAAAGTGTTCGCTGAAGAAATTACAGTCCGACTCCTCTGACAGACTGGGCGTCGGTCCTACCTGGGCGGGATCCGGACCCCGTTATCGAGCTGTCGGAGGCTCCTGGCGTGCCTGGACACCTGGATCTCCTCCTCCCACGACTCCGGCTCCTGCTTCTTGTAGGCCGATGGCGCGTTGAGCACAGCGTCGCAGGCGATGGTCACCTGGACGCCGCGGGGATAGAAGCGTGTAGTTTAGCACCTGTGCAAACGTTTCATTTCCATAAACCTGAAAGAGCAAACGCGGTCATGCAGGATTCAAAGCCGTGACTGATCCGACGTCCAGAGCAGAACTAATAACACGTCTACCGCTGAAGCAGATCAGAATGGACCATGCAGGGCTCTGATTCACCAGGTGTTCCCGATGATTACAGCCTCCAACTGAACATGCATGAAACAGTAATGATAAAAAAAAAAGGTGCCAAAGCAAAGCCCTAAAGACAAAACCAACGAATAAACACACAGAACAGAGCTCATTTCCATGCAGGCAGTCAAACAGAAAACACACCAAAGTGATAAATGTGCACCTTGTGGTTCCCCAACGTGTTTGTTTTTAGACAACAAGCTGCTAAAATCAGACTAAACATCCGCTATTAAATGAAATTCTTCAGCCAGTCAAGGTCAGGTGAAGCCTTTCAGGGGAGACGATTATAACTTTGAGTGTAAAACATTTAGAAGATGTCAGATCAGGCTCAGTAACCGTCCTGTCCTGCAGCCGGGGAACCACCCAGTGCACCTTTCCCCCCGTCGACATGCACGGAAACGCAGCGGCACTGACCAGAGCCGGCAGCTCCTCGATATTTGGTAACGGGATCTCGAAGTGGTCTGGAAAAATGACGAGCTTGGCCTCGTCCTCGTACTCATAGTCCTCTCCGTTAAAGTCCCGGTTTAGCTCTAGATCTTTGGGGGGAGGAAGCAAACAGTCAGTCGGCTGCAGGGAGACGCCGACTGCTGCTGAAGAGATGTTTGCTGGAGGAATCGACTGATTGCAATCGAGAAAGGCCGATATTTGGAGCCGATATGCATAAACGTCTTAACAGTGTGTGATAGCAGAGAAGCTGTCATTCATCTTCATTAATACGGGCGACTATAACTGAATATGACTGATTAAATTATCTCCTATGATGACTGAGATTGATCAGTTACGTCTGCTGTGTTTCTCCATCCATCCATCATCTCTACACCTTAATCCTCACTAGGGTCATGGGGGGCTGGAGTCTATCCCAGCTGACTCAGGGTGAAGGCAGGTTCACCTGGACAGGTAACCAGTCTATCACAGGGCTACACTTAGAGACAGACAACCAAGCACACTCACATTCACACCTACGGACAATTTAGAATCACCAATTAACCTCAGCATGTTTTTGGACTGTGTGGGAGGAAGCTGGAGAACCCGGAGAGAACCCACGCTGCATGGAGAGAACATGCAGAAAGATCTCGGATGTCCTCACCGGGACACAAACCGGCAACCTTCTTACTGCGAGGCGACGATGCTAACCACTGAGCCACCTTGCAGCCCCTGTTTATCTCTATTTTCCTCATTTTTCATCCCTTTCATTTCCCACTAAGTTTCATATCTTAAAGCTTTATTCATTACAGTTTTCCAGACTCTGCTTCAGGATATTCTGTTGCTGCCTTCTAACTTAGCCGTTTATCCGCTGTGAGAGGAGCTAATTTCCTGGTTTCTTGTTCAGTTTTTGCAGCTTGAGAGACATTTCTGAGACGGCAGATGGAGAGAGAGGAGACGTAGGAATAATCAGCCAATAAAAATAAACTGAAAAACATGTGAGACCACAACCAGCCAGGTTGGTTATTTTTAGGCGTCGGTTCAGCGCGTTATTGATTCGCTGCTTCAGTCGATTCCTTCACAGCGAAAGGATGCGAACGGGAGAATCCTCGGCAGACTCTTTATTCGCAGAAGTGACACCAACATGACTTCATGCGACTCCGATGCCTCTTTAGCTCAGACACAATCAATGCAGAGCTAAATTTAGGAATTCATCACCAGCAGCTTATAAACTCACTGCAGAGAGCAGCATCGACGTGAGACATGAGTCTGTGAGGAAGGAGAATCCTCATTTTGTTATTGGTACAGATTATTTTATCGGACAGTTGAATCGAACCGGAGATGTCGGGATGTCATTTAGCAACCAGATCTTCTCTCTCATTTCATCATTTATCACATAATAAAGATAAAGTCTCAAAAATTTGAGCTGCAATTTATAATTATTGTCCTCTTTGATTCACTTGCAGGTTATTTTCTGGACCAATTCTTTGATATAAATGCTGCAAAGATCAGCAAAACAACAGTCCATCAACAGAAATCTATTTTAAAGAGTGATTAAATGTTTAATTAGTTTTTAAAAGGCAATATTTCAAACATTAGCTGTAATCTTAGTATCTTCCTTTTTTTAGTCGTTTACCTGCAAAACAATGCATCTGGAGATAAAACTCTGACCTCTATTTAGAATGTCTAAACAGCCGATGTCACATTAATAAATGTGTTTCACAGTTTCAAGATCCCCTAAAACCACCATTTTCCCTGATTTGAGCCACACTGATGGGTCTAAAATCCATCTTAATGGTCGAATTTGACCCCAAACAGCCTCAGTGGATGAAAATTCAAGCATAACATTTTAAAAAAAGACTTTAATTTTTGTGTATTTTGGGTCACTTTTGGAACAGTCATTAAATTTCAGGCTAATGGAATGATGTTTGGGGTGTTTTTTACTGCTTTCAAAAGGTCAAAACGGGTCAATTTTACTCAATTAACGGCAAGCGCTGAATTTGAAACTGCCCCTAATGAACTACGAGGAAATAAAGTTTAGTTTCGATAAATAGAAGCGTTAAATCCTGACAATAAAGAGGTCGGAGGCACAGAATGATTTCCTTTTTCTGGAAAAAACTTATTGTTAAACTGACTATTTAGGTTCCAGGTAGAAAATATGTGAAACGACGCCAACGAAGGCCTCGACGTCACCCCCCGTATAAAGATGCCCGCTATCGCCTAAAGCCGTGTGATGACTCATGGGATCACAGGTTATCCCTCATATGTTACTGTGCCGTTTGCTTTCATGGTGACGTTAGCTGCTCGATTAGATCACCGGGCCGGGACGGAGACGACCGTCAAAGATCTGAGAGGAGGAAGTGAGTCAGAGGAGGAGAGGAGCCTGTTGAACGGACAGCTGTCAGATTAGAGGAAATCAGAAAGCAGGAACATGGAGGCCGAAGCTGAAGGAATTCCAAGCGTCACGGCTGCAGTGGAAGTGTGTCAGCGTCGACGGGAGGCTGACAGGTGGAGGCAGCTGACGGACCCCCACCTCTCCACTGTAAACCGACCGACCGACCCTCCCCAGCTCCCAGGCTTTGATTTAGAACAGTTACCAACCACACATACAAATAAATGCTCTATATTTAGAGAACAGGAGGAGGCAGCTCATATATATCTCTGGGTAAAGAGGGGCACAAACAATAACACGGGGTTGTAATGGAGGTGGGTCAGTCTGACAGCATGGATCAGATTAAAACGCCGGCGCAGGGAGGGAAAATGGAAAATGCATCAAGAGCTGCAGCCACTGCTTCGATTTGTTGTGATGGAAAGTAAAACTCACTTATACTGGAGTGGAGCTGGTGCAGTTACTCAGGAGGTACTCGAGTATTCCTCATTTTATACACTTTTAATATATTTCAGACGTAAATATTGGGGTTTTTTTGAATCCGCAGCACTCAAAAAAACAACAAAAAAAGTCAGTGAATTAGCTTTTCCTCTTCGATCAACAGTATTGATCAGTCTTAAGTGTCTAAAATCCACCAGACAAGACACAGAGAGGGATCTTAAACTCAAGTAGGAGGAAAAATGTAATTATTAAGCCATTTTTGATAGGTAATCTCGACCTAAATTTAGTTTTAAGCCAAGAAATGTTGAAATTTGAGGTTAAATTTGAGGTTAGATGCAAAAAGCAACACTATGATGTCAACACAGCTCATCAAAATAAGTTTCCAACCTCAGTAAATTTGCTTTTTTACTGTTTTTGTTTTTAAATTTTGCAACTCTACATTTAATGAAGTGGTAGGAATAAGTCCCTCGAGTTACTTTTGTAGAGCTCGGATCTATTTGAGAGTCGCAGTTACACACTTGGAAGCCTGATAATCCTATAAAGGACGGAACATTCTCAAATAATAAAGCAGTGATTCCTCTCGAGACCAAAGAACGGAATCTAATTTGAGCTCCGCGTTGCATTCGGAAAGTTTTTAAGCTGTTCTCAAGTCTGCCTTCTGGAGCCTTTTGTATTTCAATTAATTAAACAACTTTTCAAGGCCTGATGGGATAAAAACACTATTTTCTCTCTTCTTTTCCTCCTTTGTGCAACAGCAAAATGTTATCGATGTCATTTTCAGGCCATTTTCCCCCAAAGTAAGTATTTTACTGACTATAAAGTCCCTGAAAACTCATCTCTGTGTGTCATCGTTACATATAACATAGATGTTTTTTCATTAAATTATTCATTCTTGCTTCAAAATATCTTCTATGCAACTCTACTCTGCTGCCTCCTTTAGATATATGAAATCCCTGTCTCTTTCTCGCCACCTGCTGCAGCTCGAGCACACCAGCTCCCCTAGAACTCTGTTTAAAAGATGTTGGAGGAATTCAGCCGTGCATGTTAGAACCGGATTCTGAAGAAGAAAAGTCCCACCTCTGTAAGGCTGAATCAAATCTGAATGTCTGTTCTTGAGATGATTCAAGGTGGAAATATTATTAAAGTCTTCTTCCTTTGCTCATGCAGTGTCCTCCAGCAGATAGAAACACCACATGGACCATCAACAAGGTAAACAACTCTTTGAGCACATGTACTTTCTGTACTTGTGTTGCTTTTCTGCGTATTCTCACGGCTGCCTCCGACTCACCTAGAAACACTTTCCCGTTCCTCCGTCTGGGGATGGCGCCTCCTGCAGCTCCTGTGGCTTTCTGCCGGAAACAGAGCAGGACAACAGATTGAACCGGATCAAAGAGGTTTCAATTAAAAACTCCTTTTAAATACGTCGTCTTTGTAAATTGTTTAAATAAAAAACAGCTTTTCTGCTTTGCTGCGGCGGATCCAGGTGGTTGTCATTTTGTTAGAAATAGATGCTGCATGTTCCAGGTCGGGTTTCAAGGCGCGGGGAAAACCCCGACCACGGCAGCGTCAGAATTAAAGAATGACAAATTGAAGCGCTTCAGTTGCACGGATTGATTTGTAGACTTGGCCCGGTACCATTTACAGTAGGTCTAATGTGTCTGCAGCGTGTCGTCGGCCTTTTTTCTGTACGTTTCTTCACCACATAACGCGGTGACTTTAAAAACACGAGCCGACTGGCAGCAGGACAACACAGTGCCACCAACTGGTTTCCTCCCAGTTGAGCAGAAAGACAGAGAATGCTGACACACTCGAGACCAAGTGGACTCATGGGAAAAAAACAGCAGACACGGGAGCCTGCAGAATGCGAGCAGCTGTTTCTGGCCAGATCCAGGCTTGGAAATAGCAGCTCTTTACAAAGCAGAGCTGATCTGAGGGCAATTAGAGGCAGCAGCAGCTCAGGCCTCTGTTGTTCACCGAGAACAAGAAGAAAACAAGCACGACTCATCTGTTGACTTACTTTTTAGACAGTCAGGGGTGGACAAAAAAGCAGAAACAGCCCACAGTATAATGCAATCCGATGTAAAAGCCCCACAAAATTCAAAAGCTGCCGCAGAGTTCAGTTTGCAGCTTTCTGGCTCTGAGTCATCATCATCTTTGATGTTTGTCACTTTGAGGTGATTGCATGATGTTGCACCATGTTTCTGGTATTTTGCCCCCTTCAGGTACTAATATAAGCCGATCCTGTTGCTTAAACTCTTGTGTTCTTCAGTGTATAAACTTATTATTTCAACCTGTGACGAGGTTCATATCCCCATCACTTCCACAGATGTTTTCTTGGAAAGAACTCTATAAACTGGTTCTGATTACAGCGAAAGAAAAGCTTTATTTAAGTCGATATTCATTCATTATTTCTCAGTTATTGAAAATCTGTCTTCTGCTTTGTCTTTCTGCATTACATCTGAGCAAATAATTTAATTTTAATCATTTAACTGCCCCGATTTATCACATAATTAGGACCAGACTACGAAGTTCTTTCATGGAAACTTCCAAGGAAATGATTAACTATGAAATAAACCAATATCACCACAAAACAAACTGTATAAAAGGTTGGAGTTGTGACACTGGAGGCTCAGACAGACCTGAAGGTTTAGAACTGTTAAATACAAAGTTAAAGTAAAGCGTCACTGATTTCTTCCAGTTCAACTTGCTATTTGTTTACATGATGTGCTCTCCAATGAGATCAGATTTTGTGTAGAACTACCTTAAATCTGGATTAAATCAGGTTTTATATCTTAAAATAAGGATCACTTGACTACATTTGCGTCAAGCTGAGGGGCTCAGTGTGGACAAAAATGGTGAATTCACTGATTTTTATTGGAGTTGTATTTGACTTTTCTTGAATATTATGTAAATGCACAGCTTTTAAATAGGATTAATGTTATCCTTCTGCACATTTACGTTCTATATTATGGAACCTTGCACGTTCTCAGCTGATTTATTTGCTAATTCCTGCAACTGGAAGCATTTCTATTCTATTTTGCAACACTAAGTGTTGTTATGCATTAAAAGACCAAGTCCACTTCCTGTGAAAACATCCTGGGCAATAAAACTAGAACCACCTTTTTTTGCATTATTGTGTTATTTGATTGCAAAGCCCTTTATAGGTAAGATGCATAAAGAAATCCTGTCAGTGCTGCTGCTGCTGCCAGTTCTACCTTCAAGATGAAGATTCTGGAGGAAGACTGTTTATTTTTAGCTAGTTAGCATATTTAGATGGTGACTACGAGCCAGATTTACCATCACGCCCTCCTCGGTCCCCATGTGCACAAGCCCAGTCGTGCACAGGACTTTCTGGAAGGGTGTCGTGTGTGTCGACCCACTTTGTTTGCTTGCAGAGATGCTAAACTCGTCAAAAGTCTGCTGGATTAGCTAACACTCCAGTTAAAAACGAGCACGGAACATGCTCCCAGGTGTGAAACTCACCTCTTTGACGTGTCGTTTGAGGTGCATGTAAACACTCTGTCCCGTTTTGCGATAATGTCTCTCCACATGTTCCCGTCCGAAGCCCAGGAATGTGTTCATGCACACGTACAGGCCTCCCTCGGACTCCTGCAGAGCAACACACACAGCAGCAATCAGCAGCAGCACAAAGTCAAACACAACCAGCGGAAACCTCTGAAACTGAGCATCACAGGTTAGAGCCTTAATTTGGTAGAATTTCACAAATTTCAGCAGCAGCCGGGAGCAAAGTTATACAGTTTACTGTGTGCATGACAGATGTTGATGTCACAATCACTTTTTAAATTTAAATCAACAAGGAAACACTGGAGACGACACTCCTGGAGGCAGCATGAGAACATCTTCAGCTGCAGCCTTGAGATGCAGAATTCGATGTAAGCTTCAGTATATTTTCACCACACATGCACAGGAAACATGGAAGCAGAATAAATGTGTCAAAGATTCTGCAAGCACATTTCAAAAAAAAAGAAGAAAAAAAAAGGCTGTCTTGCTGAAACAGTCATTCGTGCATCTTGTCAAACAGCCAGAAACCTGTTCCAGCTCTCTTGAGTGCATTTCTGCTGCTGAAGGGCCTCGTTTTAAAACCACAAAATCACCTTTTACATGACATTTGATCCGAGGACTGGCTGAAAAACGAATCACTGGCTGATGTTTCGTACAGGCAACGTGATACAGCGACTTTATGCTGCTGTTGTTTCAGCAGACGGGCAGTTTGAGTTCATTCCACGGATTAAACCTCGTTGCTTTTTGGGGGCGCTGAAGACACCCGGGCTTTCCTTTGGTTTAAAAACAGTGAGTTTAAAGCTGCAGGGGACTCACTGTGACTGCCTTACTGTATCCAAACACTGTTACAGGATACTATTCTGCTGCATTCAACAGCTCTCCATGTGACTGGAAGCTCAGATTTAAGGCACACATTTAATGTCAGAAAGCTTCCTCAGTGTTTTTATTTAGATTTCAGACAGAAACCCGGTCCTGCTGCACACACGAGGACTCTCAGACACTAAATACTTGGAAAATACCCCTTCAAAACTAACCTAAATCTGCAGCCGGTGTGGGCCTTATGAGCCCCCGTGATAAACCTTTAAGTGGCCCAGAGTGACATATGAGCCTCAACAGTGCGAGGATAAAAATAAACCAGTCCTCAGGCCAACATGATGAACTCCAGACAGCTGAGTCACCTTTAAAAACGGTTTCAGTCCAGAAAGTAGGTTTTCATCGTAAGTAAGCGTTTAGCGAGCGGAAAAGAAGGAATTCTGATCCGTCACAGGTCCTTACGAGTGCAGGAAACCCTGAACTCAGCATCGAGTCTGCATATTCTGACAGTAAAAAGTTGAAATAATGCAAAATATTTATTGTTTTGATGCTGTCACTGTTGTCTTAGTCACAAAAAACAAGGAAATGCACCAAAGTTGGGGTTTTTTAATCACAGTAACTGACATAAAATCTTAAAATCGTAAATGAAATACCTGCACAGACTCACTTTAGTGCATAAAAAACTCAATATGTGAGTATTTTACGACTGTCAAGGACGTTAACTTTGGGTTGTTCCCTGTAAACTCACTACTGGACACAAGAGTGAAACGTCAAAGTGCATCACAGTGAGCAGAACGACACAATTAGCTTTAAAAACTCACTGTTAATCCTATGTTCTGCACATATAACGACATAAACACTAAATTAATATTGTACATTTCCAGCTTAGTGCCACCTCAAGTTAGTCTTCAGACAAGTTGCATCAAGTCAAGTCGCCGTTATTTATACAGTATATTTAAAGCAGCAGCTGTTGTGCCAAAGTGCTTTCCAGTACAGGAATAAAATCAACCAAACAGGTTTGAATATTGAGGTCAAGACACTCCAGCGTTATTTATGGTGTGAATATACAAGAGCAATTTAAATATTAAGGATTAAAAACATGCAAAAAAAAAATTATATAACACAACTTAACCTGACTTAGACCAACAATATCCTGAATCATGGAGATTAACCTGACAAATGGAAACCTCATAGTGTTATTTAAAGTAGGGACACAGCTGATTAATTTGAATATTGGGGAATAAAACTGTACAAAAAACTACGTTAAACGACTAGAATAAATATTACAGCTAAGACCCTACAATAATGTTAATGATGTGGAGTAAGCTGAATAATATAAATCTTAAGATGAAGACCTTATAGTATTATTTCTTATAGATATTAAAGTGACTAATTTGAATATTGAAGCATAAAACTGTACAAAAAACAACTGTAAATGGCTGCAATGAAAATTACAGCAGAGCTCTATGATATTCTTAATTAGGGAGATTAATTTGAGTCATTTATATATCAAGGCTAAGACCTTATAGTATTTATTACAGAGAATCAATGTGATTATTTTGAATATTTAGGGGGAAAAACACACACAATAATACATAAAATTCAACTTTACTTGACAATAACACATTATATCACACAGCATTCATAATTATAAGGATTATTTTGACTAATTTAGTTCTTTTACATGAAAACCCAACAAATACAGTGATTTTTATTGCTGTTTTTATATACATATTTTTTAATAATACAGATTTTAAAGCCTGCCATGTGTCCTCTGACTGTGGTTGGAAACGAGCTCAGGCAGGTGTGTCTGTTTACTGGTTATACTGGCCTGGACTGGGCTCCCAGCACAAAGGAAGGAGCCTCCATCCCGCTCTGCTCGGATGTAAACACCTTTTTTATTATTTATTTCCCTGCAGCTTCCCGGGAAACGCGCACACTCACGACAGCGGCTTTACGCGTGCTGCCTGCCCGGGAGAGGCGCACCGTCAGCCCGCCTGCGACGCCCCGACAGCCCGCTGCCGTGTCGGAGGTGCGGAGGTGGAGGAGGCACTCACCGGGGAGTCGAAGGAGAAGGCGCACTCGCTCTTGAAGACCCTGTCTCCGGTCCGGGGCACCCTGATGGTGGGCATGTAGGGGACCAGCAGCTCTCCGAGGTCTGCAGCCATCTTCGCATTCCTGCTTCTCGCACCACAGTGCGGCGGAGCCTCCGGAGCGGCGGGTCACAGCGCAGGAGGCTATTTTTAAAGCGCTCCGTCTCTACATTCCTCCGGCCGGGGGGCTGTGACGCTGGGAACCATAAAAACCAGGCTGCGGAGGGCGGAGGCTGCCGCCGCTGGACGCATGGAGCTGCTCCTTTTGTTTTGGTCCGGGGCTGTTGGGGTTGTTGTTTTTTTTTTTTTCGTGCAGAAACGCTCGGACCTGCGCAGAAATTATCTCCGCTGACTGGTGACGCTGCTGGATGTCTGGTTCCTCCCACCGCCCAGATGATTCACCAAGACGCCCACGAGTACTTCAGCAGGTCCTCCTCTGGAGCTCCAGGAGAGGAGCAGCTCGATATGAAAGGGTTTTTAATATCTGCAGATTTCAAACACTGAACCATGTTCATCTGCTGCAGCTTTTATTTGTCCTCCTGTTTCTCTCTGCTGTCATGGTCTCTCCTTCTAACCTCCCCCACAGGTGAGGAGACCTCCGGCCTCCCTGAGCTGCTTCTCCTGGAGCCTCCAGCAAACACCAACCTTCAGGGAACGTTCACTAAAGAGATGAAGCAAATGTTCCCCAGACCTTCAACAAATGCTCGTGGAATGTTCCCTGAAGGTTATTGTTGTTCCTAGAATGTTCCCTGAGGGTTCCACAGAATGTCCACAGAACATTCCCCTAATGTTCTGCTGAATGTTAATGAACACACCCTGAAGGCGCTACATGATAACCTTTAGGAAACGCTCACTGAAGAGCAGTGCATTGGATGTTCCCTAAACCTTCAACAAAAGCTTGTGGAATGTTCCCTGAAGGTTATTGTTGTTCCTAGAATGTTCCCTGGAGGTTCTACAACAATAGTCTCTAAGGTGGGTTCCAAGGTGCAGCAAATGTTTTCTGGACCTTCACCAAAGGTTATTGAACTTTCCCCAAATGTTCTGCTGAAGGTTGTTTTTGTTCTACAACTATAACCTTCAGGGAACATTCGCTAAGACGGTGGAGCAATTGTTCTCTGGACCAGAACAATGTGGGAATGTTCTGCTGAAGGTTCTAATATATTGGTTCCAAGGAAACGTTTACTGAAGAGGTGCAGCAAATGTTCCCCAGACCTTCATGAAATGCTCAAGGAAGGTTCCCTGAAGGTCATTGTTGTTCCTAGAATGTTCCCTGAAGGTTCTACAGCATCAGTCTCCAAGGTGGGTTCACTATCATGGTGCACCAAACGTTCTTCGGACTTTCAGCGACTGCTTGTGCTGAAGGTTCCTGACAGCTACCTGAAGGTTCTACACTGCAACCTTCACTGAACATTTGCTAAAGAGGTGCATTTGCTGAAGGGCTTGGGAACATTTCCTGCACCTCATTAGTGTACGTTCCCTGAAGGTTACCATAGCGGAACCTTAAGGGAACATTCCCCAAATGTTACCCAAAAGTTCTACAGCAACAACGTTCGGCAGAACATTTTGGGAACACATGCTGATGGTCTGGGGAACATTTCTTGCACCTCAATAATGAAGGTTCCCAGAAGGCTATTGTAGTAGAACTTTGAGGGAACCTTCCCAAAATGTTACCCTAAGGTTCTAAAACAGCAACAACAATCTTTAGCAGAACATTCGCCTAAGATTTTGGAACAGTCCCCAAACTCTCAGCAAATGTTTCGTGGATGTCCCGCTGAAGGTAGAACCTCCAGGGAACGTTCTGGGAATGTTCTATGAACAGGAACGTTTGCTAAAGAAGCAGAAATGATCAAAATGAAAACAAAGCTTGCTGACGGGGGATCTGGTGAAACCTTGGATCTGTTGGGTTTTTAGATTTATTTTTTGTAGATTGACTTCTTGTACTTTGTGTTTCAAATTAGTCACGATAATTTCTGCAATTATTTATCCTGTAATGTCTTATCGCTAATATTCAAATTAGTTAGATTCTCAGTCTTATTATTTATTACAGTCAGTTATGGAGGGTTTTTTTATACATGAATATTTAAATTATTAGGCTAAATTCACACCATAAGGAACACTGGTGTCACCATTTAAACTTGCTTCTCTGCTGGAAGGAACTCCGGCTCAGCGTCTGTTGCCTTAAATGTGTTGCATAAAGAACGGTTACTTGACTTTATAGTAAATAAATAAGTCACATTTAGAAGGAGACACGCTAAAGGGATCATTTCCTGCATCACATCTGATCTAGGATTTCTACAACCAACAGCCTCCGTCTGTCTAGAAGCATTCTGTCCATCTCTGCCCCCTTGTGGACGCTGCTGTGTACTGCAAAAACAATGTATAAAAAATGAACCTGATACGTCAGGGAAGGAACACTTGTGGTCTTTTCATTATGAGGAAAATGTTTGACGTTTAATCGTGTACAACTTTTAAATCTCTGGATGTAAATATTGCTGTTGCAAATGAATGTGTCACGCTGTAAAACATCCAAAAAAGGAATGTAGTCAAGTCAACTCATCCAGTGAAGTTCATTAAAATCTATTTGTTTTGCTCATTTCTAGTCAACTGCCCTAAAATTGTCCATTTTTTAGTTTATAAATTGAGTTATTTGGGCTTAAAATGAATGAATAAACAGCTTTGGGTTCTCTCAGCTCATTAAATCATGATTATTTCTTTTTATAATGATCCAGTTAGTCCCCACACCTGTAGCCTTATAACTTATCTCACTGTAGCTGGTCACAGATTGTCTTTATACTAGCTTAAGGTAATAAAAGTCACTCTAAAATTAGAAAATGTAAAGCAAATTTATCTGTACCCAGGATCTGTGACTAATTTTACACTTTTACAACTCAAAAGATAATTAATTAATCAACTGAAGTGCTGTGAATTGACATTTTTACAGCTGAGTGAACCTAAAACGAATTATAGAGCACGGCTGTAGAAGCACTGACATGCTGATGGGAATGTCTCTGGATGTCCAACTCCAGTTCTTAGATGTTATCAGAGCACATAGTGAGTGAGACGCTGCCACCTGGACAGGTCGTCTGACATAAAGCTGAGACCTTAAAACGTCTCCGTGAGCCTCCTCGTCATCTGTTGAACAGAGGCGATCAATTCAAACGTGAGCAGAACATCCAGCCTCATGCAGCTGTTTGGTTTAAACGCTGGATCGTCCACATCTCGGCTCTGACAAACCCAGTAAAAACACAGAAGACCCCGAACATCCGAGTACATATAGATTCTTTATTTACGCAAGAAAGGGAAAAATGTACAAACAGCGAGCCGGATCGGCACGATGTACTGACGACGGACACGTCCGGACTAGTGGTCGGGCAACGACTTGTGGCTGTTGTCGATGAGATTCTTGTCGGGGCTCTCGCTCTGGAACCAGGGACCGTCACCCCTGTGCCTCATGAGTCGACGGACCTCCAGCTGTGTCAGTCTGTGGGCGAGAAACAGCCAATGAGAGAACCAGGCTTCAGACCGGGGCTCGACATTTACAGGATTTTCCGATGTCGGTTATTGATGATCAAAAAAGGCTGACAACTGATATTTGGAACAGATGTACATTAAATGTGACGTTTTAACAGCGTGTGACAGCAGAGAACCCGTCATTCATCACACATTCACTAAATTCACAGAAAGAAGTTCTGAAACCTGGAACCAGAACATGTCATTTCTGGATGTTTGCCTGAGTTCAACTGGATATTTAGTGTTGTAGACGTCCTTAGACTGGTCTCTTATTTCTATTTGTTCAGACATAAAGTAATGAAGCTGTTAACTTCTACTTGCAGGACAACAAAGTTCCACAATACGTCGCCTGCATGTGTGGAACTTTTGCCAATTACACTGTTTTGTGACCAAACTTTTCAAGGAAAAATCTCTTTTCTTGTTGCTCAACAACAACAACAACAACAACAACAACAATAATAATAATAATAATAATAATAATAGATTAGATTAATATTGCGCTTTTCTTACTCAAGGAGTAACTCAAAGCGCATACAATCAATTGTCAATTATTCATTCACACACATTCACATCCTGGTGGTGGTTGCTACGATTGTAGCCACAGCTGCCCTGGGGCAGATTGACAGAGGCGTGGCTGCCATTCTGCCCCTCCAACCACCACCTCAAACAATCCATTCATACACATTCACACCAGGCAAGGTGGGTGAAGTGTCTTGCCCAAGGACACAGCGACCACGACACAGGTTACAGGGCGGAATCGAACCGCCGACCTTCCGATCATTGACCGACTCGCTCTACCACCTGAGCCACAGCCGCCCAATAAATCATTTATTCGTGACGCTGAACTTTAACTGCGTCCCGACAGCCTCTTCGTCCTTCACATGTTGGTGACAGAGAGCAGCACTCACCTCATGTCAGCCTTCTCCTTCTCTACTTGGATCGCAGCCATCATCTTCTCGTAGTCTTTCACTGGAGAGTCGTACAAGTTGCGTGAGATCCACCTGGTGATGGGGTGCTGCAGGGACAAAACCAGCAGGTGAGGCAACAAAAGTCAACACACAGAGTCACGGTTAAGCTAACATTGTGGGGTGGATTTGTGTTACTGCGTTTATGCATTTTTCTAAATTATTTACAGTCAGAGCTGTGACTTCACGATGAGGCTGATAGTAGGAAGTGGCCTTTAGGAGATCATATCGCATGACTACATTGATCTGCAGATTTTACAGCAACATTAAGTCATCAGTCAATTCTGGAAATCATACCACTGTATTATTATTTTTTTTTTTTTTACATTTCTGGAAGAGAACAATGCATAGACTCCTTTCTAAAGTGTCTCATGAGCCTCTCATGTGGAGGCAAACACAAATGTTTTAGCGATTGGCGCTGCAACAAGATCAAAACAGTGGTTATGGTTTGCACACACTGTGATATCCAGCTCCATAGATAAAGCTTTGGCCGATTCTTCCCCAAACCAGGCTTCATACTAAGTAACACAAAGACCCGTGTGAAAGAAATAAAGCTACACACCTTGTAGTACTCCCAGTGCTCAGGTTCGTAGTCCTCAGGAGTTTCCACCAGCTCTGCCTCACCTGCACAACACAATCACACTCATGTTTAATCCAAAATAACAGATTCATGTCGTTTCTAACCCACTGAATCCCAAAACACACCAGCAGCTTGGAAACTGTAAAAACACAAAGAATGATAAGATTTTATCTTTCCAACAGGTCTTGGGCCAAACAACTATGACGCGCTGTTCCCTTACAAACCTTAACCAAGATCTAATAATTTCAACAAATCCCTTTATAGTTCATATCTCCATTAAAGAAAAAAATGCCCCAAAATTAACCAGTTGCTTAAATCAGATTCTGTAAAAAATAAAAAATTCTCTGCTTCTCGATGCAACTGCAAAGCCATGAATGACTCAGCTGTGACCGACAGTCACGTGCCGAAAATTCATGAACTTTTTGGCTGAACTGTAGGCTGTGTTTAAACAAAACGGATAAGAGACAAGAATAAAAACACATTTAAAATGTAAGTAGTAAAATAACTATCTAGAGTATGTAGATCCACTATTTTTTTGTTGTTTTTTTGCAGTAGCTGTAACACCTGTGGACACTTAGAAAATAATGTTGTGCATGCTGATTGCAAGTTTTTTAACTTTTGCAAAATAATTAGTGAAAAAATTTCCACTTTCGTTTTTGTCTTCGTATGACTTAACATCATAACTTTTCTCCTTCTTCACGGTGGTGTTGTTTCCATTGAGGTGCAGGACTTTAATAACAAAAATAGCACAGGAGCCAAAAAACACGCGGAAACTGTTTGGGGTTCAGAGGGTTAAATCACACCGTTGACTTAGAACTGAATAAATAAATATATGAAACTGTCTAAAATGCACAAAAAAACCCAGAGACAAAAGTTTACTCACCAATGAAGATGTTCACAGATGTGATGAAGACGGCCACTGGAATCCCAGTCAGCAGGATGTAATATTTCTGGAAAAATTTTTTTAAAAGTTCTTAACGTTGCAGTTCTGCACCATAAACATGCAGAACAGAAAAAAAAAACTGTCTAAACTTCTTCCACTTTATGTTTAGTGTCACCACTAAGTAATTCAAGTGTGTGGGTTCATTCTGTTGCTGAATTAAATCCACGTCCTTCTGGATTAGTGCATGTTAAGTATATATAGAAATGGCATGAAGGTGTGCAAATATTCAGCAAGATATGAGCGACTACATGCAAGTTATTTAAAGGTGTGTAATCACAACACACTGAGCAGTAACGGAAATACGTTAAAGAACACAACTGGAGATAAAAAATGCTGCTGGCATTGTTTTTCTACAAACTCCAGCTCTTGAATTTGAGCCCGAGCTCGCTGACTAACATGACGTTACAGTAACTCACCAATAAATGCAGAACTCTCCTGTCATAGAAGTCAGTAGCGTGGATGTAGAACATTTTCTTTCCATGACCCCAGCGGACGGCCACTGCAAAACAGGGTGAACGTTACTGTCATGATGCCAAAATCCTGGGAATAGACAGAATGGCTGTACATACGAGTGACACCACGTATGTTATTCTTTCTTCTTCAGAGATAAGAACTGTGCGCTCTGTCATGTAAAGGTTTGTCTCTTGTTTGTGCCGAGGAGGCCAGTTTTAACCTCATTTTTGTTTCTTAAACACAAATACTTCTGAGGTTTTCTCATTAGTGGAGCAGTTGGACAAACTCATGAGAGACTAACGCTCGTCTTTCCTCTGTGTACGGAGGAGAAATAAACTGCCCCATAAACAGAGACGTTACACCTTTGGATCTTATGAATCCTGCAAGGTTTATTAAAAGAAGTTATTCTGATATAGATTTGCTCTTTGTGAATTTGCTTTATGTTGAATTTCTACAACAGTGGGATTCTGGTTGTTAAGAAAACGTCATGCAGTTTAAACGTGTTAAGATTTTAAATGCTAACATCAGCGTTCTGAACTTTGGTGGTTTTTGTATTTCAGTATAATGAACAGTCTGTGACCCGTTGACGGTCAACTGTCCTGTTGTTAAGAGAAAAGCACAGCATGATTACACGGCCTTCGATACAGTTTGTCAAAACTTGTTTTCAAGATTTTGCCGTGGTTTCGATGAGGTCGGTCCAGAGCAACCTCTTGGACAGACAGAAATGTCACGTCAGAATTTTTCTGTTTAATTTTTACATGTTGTCTCCTCTGCATCTCATTTTTATTTACATCTTTATGCCGACGACACTATTTTGTCTTTCCGCTGTCAAAAGCCTTCAGGACTGCTTCACTCAGTCATGAGCTGCACTCAGTACATATAAATTACTTGTCAATGCAGATAAAACCAAAAGGGATCTTCAACAGAGCCAAAAATGTTGCTTATGACAATCTGATCATCTCTACTCTTAACGGAACAAACTGAAAGAATGCAATTATTTGGGAATTTGAGGCTAGTTTCAAATGTGCGGTGACAAACTATGACAAAAATTGGTTTCTTTTACAGACATAAATTATGTTTTCCACTGCACTGGGGAAAACATTTCTTGAGGCAACTTTATTATGGAACACTGAATTATGGTGACATTTTTTGCAGGAATTCATCAGAAGTCACTCATCAGTCTCCAGATTTATTACTGGTGGCAGTTATAACACTCATCACTGTGAGCTGTAGGCTGAGACTGGGTGGTCTTCCTGCTCTGTAAGGTGTGACAGACAATGAGCTTTATTTATTTCTAAGGCATTTACGTTTCCCCTCATTTTCCAATCACTGTGCACCTGTAACTGAAATACCTGCAAAACAGTCTAAAGTTGGACTATTTTTTATTGTTAAAATCAATTCAGGTTTCTAATTTTATCTTCTTTTACTTCCAGCTGCTTTTGTTTGAGTTGAATTATTTGTTTTTACAACTTAAATGCTCTAATTGATGTTCATTCTATTTTAGTAATTTGGCCTCTGCAGAATATTATTGAAAATTTTCTTATTTGTGTGCCGACATCTTTTAATTTCTTACTCGGTTTCATTGTAAGTGAGGCCTCTATACCTAAATGTACTCTGAGTTTATTTAAAGGTTTTAACAGTAAAAAATCTGAGCATTTTTTTCAGCTATATCCTGATATTAACATATTGAGATATTAACTATTTAGGTTCACAGAATTGTTTGGTAGAAAGTAATGTGCATCTCACTGAGTCAGATATTTACAGTGATTTATTAAAATAAAATAAAATAAAATTACAATTAAAATAGCGAACAATTTGTTTCCAAACTTAAGCTGTGGAGCTGTTGCTGAAGTTGGTGCAATTAAACTGCAGCACAATTTCTGGTATGTTTTGGAAATTATTAAGACAAATCGGTTGAACTATGAGATAATAAATTAGCATCCAAACCCTGTAAACCAACTAACGTGCCAGTTATTCATATTAATGAAAAGAAAGTCAGTTAAAATGCCTTCAGCAGAGAAAGCAGAGAGCACAGCTTTATGTGACTGTAAAGGTAACGCTGCTCCCGTTCTGTTGACAGCAGGACGAACGTTAGCAGCTAGCTCATGTTAGCAAGCTGACAAGTCGCGGCGCAAGGTCACAAGTGAAGACGGAAGCTTCTACTTTTAAACTTCCCACTGATCCAACGGTCAGAGTGTTTCTTACCTTTATCCGTCCGCGGGATGGTTCGAGTGAGCAGATTTGCCGCTTTATTTCCAGATTTCAGGGGACTCAGTCTGGCTGCGAAAGCAGCAGCAGACCGGAGGACGCTCATGCCCACCATCGCTGTTTTGGGAGAATCGACCAACAACGCGAACTGTGATTCGTCGAAAAGAGGATGAAGCTGAGCCGCCATGTTTGATAAGGGCGGAAACGGTATTTTATAAAATGTAGTTTAACTGTGATAATAATAAGGTACTAATATATTATTACGTATGTATAAATCCCAGGAGATTTTTAAAACGATAGAAGGTGTTTATTTTTATTTTTGTTAAAAAAATAAAGCCGTAAGGGGACGAGTGCATGTCGGGTAATGTTAAACATGGCGGCGTCCTCATCTTCAGGACGCGTTTTGACTCTTTGCAAGCAATTTCAAAATGTCTTTAGGATATCTTCAGCGATTACAGCTCAACACTGTGCTGTTGGTGTGACAGCATGCCAGCAGCAGCCTCGTGTTTTCAGGTAAGAAGGGTTCAAATATGGCCTCTTATAGTTTAATTAAGCGACATTCATTAGGTGAACACGCAGGACTCATCGGGTCGGACTGCTGTCAGTGTGTTCAGTACAATCAATGTTCACGAATAAACCAAAAACAAAACACCCATGAATTAAAATGCATGGAAATGAAAGCATCTGGAGTTTAGTTAACGATGCATTCAGGTTGCATTTGTGCTGTTTGTCCACAGAACATCTTTTAGTGCTAAAATAATAAAATATAGTGGTTTCTTAAGTCACAGTTAATGCTAATTATTGGATGTACACAGAGTAATACAGGCACATTCAGGTTATTACAGCGACCACCGTTCAGAACAGCCCTGGAGAACATATTATGATGGCAATTTACAATCTGCAGTAAATATCTTGCAGTAAAGTTGGTCTTATTGTTACTGGTATTTATTTAGTTATTCTAATGATTACAGAGGCCATGTTCAGTAATGCATCCATACCTATAATAATAGCCCCGCTGCAAATATTCTGCTGTGAAACGAATAAAAGCACCTGATATGACCAAAAATCAAACTTGTAACTTGTAGTGAAATGACGTCCAGCTGTGATGGAGCTCAGGATTCAGCTGTAACAGATGATTTTAAAAAAGACGAAGACACTAAGCAACAAGACGCTAAAGTGAAATACTGCCTGGCTGGTGTGCATGTAGACAGATATTTACAAATGACAAGTGGATATTTATGTACAGATGACAGTACGGTATGAAAAAGCAGCGCAATATATCATGATAAAAGTGCACAGTGTTGTTTAGATCCTGGTGATCCTGTCTCCACATCGGGGATAATTTATAATTATGATGTAATAAATTAAGTTATCATTAAGCTGTGTTTGTAAATGTGCACCTCTCCTGCTTCGGAAACTGTACAAGCTCCATTTGTGGTGCTCTTTAAGACTTAATATTTTAATTTTGTTTTGCCCCCACCAGGGACAAGCCTCCACTTGTTGCCCCGTCTTGGAGGAATGCCATCAGCTCTGCAGCTCAGCATCGAGCTCTGCACACATCCGTCAGCAGGAGAGGACTGGACGAGTTCTTTGACTTCCCTGAGAACTGGGGAGAGACCAACGTAAAGTCGGGTAAGATATAGACGAGTTATAGCTTTCAGAGAGCAAACGTGTCCGTAGATTCAATAACCGGCAACTATTTGTACATGTTAATCTGCATCAAAGTAGATCTAGCGAGAAACAGTAATTGCTGTACTGTTTTGGTTGGTCATTCTAGGGGCACCGTGGTCGGCCAAACAGCTGAGAACAAAGAGCAACGAGGAACTGCACAAACTCTGGTGAGCAGCGTTGAGATGACACTGCTGCGTCTCAGTGGAGAGGTTTATCAGCTGTCTGTAATGCTTTTGTTCTGCCTCAGGTATGTGCTGTTGAAGGAAAAGAACATGTTGCTCACACTTCAGCAGGAGTCAAAACGGCAAAGGGTTCCGATGCCGAGTCCAGAAAGAATGAGAAAGGTTGGTGTGACGCTGAACTGACATCTCCAGGATTACTGCAGATGATGTGATTTGAGGGATGTGTGTGTTAGTTTCTGTAGAACTGTGTTGGTGGTAAAAGTAGGAACTCTGACTTGGGTAAATCTGCCTTTTCCCTCCCAGGTTGAGCGGTCGATGATCAGACTGGAGACGGTGGTGACGGAGAGAGAAACTGCGCTGCGTCTGCTGCAGACCGGACAGGAAAAAGGCCGACCGGGAGCCTGGAGGAAGAACACATTTGGATACATCTACTGGTGAGTCTCAGTGTTCCTACAATGTCCAGCAGACATGAGAACAACACTGTGGAACATCACATCAAGGTCAAATGATTCAAAACTGTGTCATCTTACACTAATTGCAATACTTGCTTACTGAACAGTAGGTTATTTGCTCTGATCTAAAATCATAAACTAACAGTTCACTATAATAAAAACAAAAGCCCCACGGTGGGAACTGAGCACAACAAAAATCATTACTGAGATTCAAATTTTTTTATTTTTGATGACAGACTGTTCTGAACAGCATATTTTTTTAGCTGCACCTTTCTGGAGGAGTTCTGTTGCTCTACCTGTCTCTGTAAAATACCCCCAAAGATGTTCTGTTGGACTCAAGTTAGGCGACATACTATTGGGTCGTAGTTTTCACTTCGTTGTTCTTCAGAAACTCTTATGTGTAATTTTAATGTTTGGGTGGTTCTCCTGCTGGAATATTCCTCGTCTTCATCTGGTCAGCCAGTATTCAGGTTTATCCTCACACATTCATCTATAAATGTCATCAACACCTTCTGACCTCATGCAGCCCCATATCATGATACTGCCACCTCCGTGCTTCACTGTCAGGACGATGCATCCACTGTGGTGGTCCTGGTCAGGTTCACACCAAACATCTGGATTTCATCTGAGCTCAACACATTTATCTTCATCTGACCAGAGAATGTTCTCCAACACCCATCAGGGTTCTTTTTACATTCTTTAGCAAACTTTGATGTGGAAGGTTAGTTGTAAGAAGCTACCAGGTTTAGTTCTGGTCCTCCATCCATAGAGGGTGATGTTCTGAAGTGTCCTTCACACTGTCTGAGCTTCACACTAACTCTGGTTTCCATTGATAGCCCCCGTGCCAAGTCTGAAGCAGCTGCCTTTGTCTGTTCTGAAAGTAGTTCAAAGTCCGTGGAATCGTTTTAGGAGGACGACCACTGCAGCTCTGATCAGTGCTACTACGGCTCCTTCTAGACCTCCTGATTACTGCTGCAGCTCTGTTTGGGTTTTTAGCTGCTCGCTGATCTTCATATCTCTTCTCCCTCTTTGTGAAATCTCTGATTTTTCAGCTCCTCTGGTCAGTTCTTTTCCATGTCGTTGTTCATAAGAGGAAATATGCGACTGTTTAAGCTGTGCAGTTATTGGGAGGTGATACAATTCTGAATCATTTGACATCTAAGTGATATTGCACAAGGCTGTACTCGGGTTAGTTTCATCCTATGCACACCTTACTTCTTGGGGTTTGGGGAACTCTGCTGGTTTGAAGGTCTGGGTGGATCATGTTCAGGCTTGGTTACTCAGATCTGATTCTTTGATTGAAACTTAAGAATATCACAGCACATTCCTGGATTGAGTTTTACACTTACAGTCACTGTCACCGTTCAAACCTGAGCTGCATCTTGTAACTTCTTCAGGACAGACGGGCTGATTTTAGACCTTTCTTTGTAACCTCATTGCCGTCCCTTAACAAGACCAGCTGTTAAAAAACTAAATGTGGCATCACTGCTAACACATTTTCCTCCACAGGTATCGATTCAAAGAGTATGCTATTCCCTGGTACATGAATAGAAGATACAAGCGCAAGAAGTTCTACACGCCCGACTTCGTCCAACCACATATGAGGTAAGATGTTACACTGCTACTGTGCAGCACGGTGCACTTTTTATTAAGTTCTGTTCTCTTACAAAAATCGTATTATTAATTTCTTTTGCAGGCTGCGTATAGAGAAGCTCCTCAGGCAAAGGGTCCGGAAAGCAGCCGCAAAGAAGCACGCGCAAGCCAAACTGAAGCAGAGGTTTCCCGAAATGAAGGTTTCTGCATCGTGAAATGTCGAGCTTTTATTTTGTTAAAGCGTTTTTGATGAACCTGAATCAGCTCATGTCAAATAACTGAACGTGACCTGAAACTGCGTACTTGTCCAGCTGTTGTTTGCTCCTACGAGATAAATTATACGACCTGAAATGTTGTGTTCTGTGTGTTTATTCCAGAAGATAAGTCGTTGGAGATCAAATAACCATGTAGATGTTGCAATTCCAGTAGTCAGTGAAGGAATCTTTTTAACAAAACAAACAAAAAAAAAAGACTTTATTTTTAAAAGATCACAGGTAGCCAATGACAAGCAGAGTGAAAATTAAATACAGGGTTATTCAACGCAGACCAGAAGTGACTGACCTTTACCTCCGGTGAGGTTACTCGCTACACGGAAACAGAAAGGCTTACGAACAAAACACCGTATTCACCCCAAAACTAGAAGGTCGATCCTCCAAAAACACTGTTCACTCAGTTTGCCTCGTCGGTATTCCTCAGAAATCCTGTCCAGATACTTTTTGTGTTTTTTGTTTTTTTTTCCCTCAGTGTGATCAGAAACTGTTTTTATGATGCGAGGTTTCCACCAAACGCCAGCGACTTACGGATAAGGCAACAGACTGACTTTTGGGACATTAACAAAGGAACTTAAATTGTAGAATCTCTACAATAAATCTCAGACAGGTATACGGACAAACTCAGTTTTTAAAAAAAAATCATACAAAACAAGAGCGAGGTGTTCCTGAGTCCGGGTCCGAGGTGAATCATCGTGATGTTGAGTTTGCGGCGGTGACGTGGGGAGAGAGAGGGGGGGGTCAGATCAAGGGCACTTCCTGTCCACACACTGCTTTCCTCCCTCCTCGTACTCCTGTTTAGAGATCCACATCTGCTGGAAGGTTCCCTGGAAAACAGTATGTTTGTTTAGGGGGGGAACTAAAAGATGATGAGCCATTTAGAAGATGTGCAAAAGGAATTCTCATTTAACACAAACAGAACATTAACTGTAAAATCAACTAAATGTGAAGAAAGTTCCACCCTGACCTCCTCAGAACCAGAAGATTGTTCATTGACAGTAACTTCAGCGTATTTAATGAAGCTGTGCAAAATATTACCTTCATACTATGATTATTTTCAGAGCTGCAGGTCCTTTAGTTACATAGAAGTGAGTCCAAATGTCGTAATTTTGCAAATTTGTTATTTCTTTGGATCATTTCTGAGTTGGAAGATGCATTCGTGGTGAGTTGATGTGCAGAGCAGTATGAAAAACCCCTCGTTTGTAGAGTTCGTCAAAAATAAAAGAGTGAAATATTTACAGCATAGACAGGCTTTATTTTCTAATTTTAACCACACATGGACCCTTTTTGATTTAAAAAAAAAATTGATGCACTAATTTATTACATGCTGCTTCCTATGCGTTCTATTTATTAAATATTTTTGGGTTATTTATCATAAGTCTAAGTTAGATTTTTCTGCAAAATGTTATTTTATTCTGTTTGCTGCTGGACTCAGGTACAAATTTCGCTCCTACATATTTTTACACGTCTAAATGGACGTAAATTGAACTGAACTGAAGTACAGCAGAGACACGAGAACTTTTCAGGGCTTAAAAAACACACTTGAGTTCTGATTAAAAACTGCAGCCACATCAGTTTTACATCCATCCAGGAGCCACAATCTAAAACCAAATCTTGTTTTTGTCCAGCACGATTTTCTCTGTAACCGACTCTGAGCATCAGTATTATGGGATGTGGAGTCACTGAATTGGTACCCTGGATGTGTTTCTGTTTCTGACCATTCACCAGAGAAAACTTTGAAAGGTGCATTCTGGGTAAACTTTCAAGGCTGATGGTGGTCGGTCAGAACAAGTTATCGGAAATGTCTTATTTACACCTACATTTGATACCAGGATCATCTTCCAGACGTGATTCTTTTATTTAGTCAAATCTGAAAATATTGTTCATTAAATATACTAAAGTTGTTGTTGCACATTCTGATGGCTCAGTCAAGAGGCACCGATTGATTTCCTCATGGAGTAAAACTGATGTTTCTAATGTGATAACAATATGAAGGATAAAATGAAATCTTCTCCGTGTGAACGTACGAGTGACGCCAGGATGGAGCCTCCTATCCAGGCGCTGAAGCGACGCTCCACTGTGGTGTTGTTGGCGATCAGCTTCAGCCTCATACTCTGCAAAAAGCACAAACATGATCAACTCTGGCAGAAAGTACAAATAGTTAGCAACCACAGAAGATACCGAGCTTTGTGTCGGGAAAAGTGCCGCGGCTCACCGGAGGAGTTTTCTGTGAGAGTTCTCTGTTGAGTCGGTCGGTGAAGCCCTGGATGAGCGTGTTTCCTCCGGTCACCACCACGCTGCCGTACAGGCCCTGAGACAGAGACAAGCGAGAGAGACACGAGGTTCAACAGCAGATTCAAGATTCAGGCGCAAATCTGAAGTGCAACACAAGCTGTGAGGACAATATGACTCCCAGTAAGTTAGCAAATACTGAAGTGTATTACAGTTTCTATGTCTGTCTGCTTCAACAGGTAAAATGCTTTGAAACATGCTTTTATTGATCAAACTGCACATGAATGTCCAACCAGTTAAACATAAAAATCAATTTAACACAGATGAATAGTTCAAGGACCGTTGGAAAGTTCTAAATCTAACAATTCTTTTTGTTTTTTACAGTTTCTGGCTGATAAATGGTGTAATTTTGGCGATTTTTTTTTTTACAGACAGCAGGTTTTGGGGTTCACGGGGTTAAACTCCACTCTGCTGTCTTGTGAGACAACTGTGTCCATCGAAGTGTTTAATCTTCAGTCAATCGAAATTCATTCAGTTCCTGTTCTTTACAGACACACAAGTCTGACTTTTAGCCACCACAAAGACTGAAACTCGACTTTAATACATCCTGAAACTCACCGGCCGGATGTCGATGTCGCACATTCCCACGCTGGTCGTGACCACATGACCGACTCCTAACATGGTGTTTCCAGACAGACCCTGCAGGTGATCGCACCAAAACAAGACATTTCATGAAACAGAAAAAGCATCCGAACACTTGTGGAATCGTTCCAGAACAGAGCATTCAGAGTACGCTTAGCCACTGTGGCTTTGTTATCGCTAACAGTCGAGCTAACGGAAGATGTTTAGGAAGAACACACCTTAGCATTCGAGGGGTCAAAAAGCCCCTCTGGGATCTTCAGCCTCTCAGCCCCAAAGTCGCAGTTGTAGCCGTTGGGCAGCTCGTAGTGCACTGTGGGCATCTGGGCAGCAACTCTGAGGAAACAGGGAGTCAGAACCAGTCAGTTAATTATGTTAGGAGGAAATTTCCAGCACACAAGCCTCAACATAGCAGCATTATGAACCACAAAATGGTCAGAGCTGCACAACAAACCACGACTAGCTGATTAAACTCCTGCACTTTGTTTCTTAAACTGTACACCATGTGGAGAAAAACCACTGGGGAGCCCTGATACTGTGGATCACATGCATTTCAGGTTTTATGACAACCAACCACCATCTATCTATTTGTCTATATGTATGGATTTATATGAAAGTTCTCTCTTACTGTTCGTCATACGGTGAGTCCGACACCTGCAGCACAGACGCCTGGAAGTCCTGAATTACACACTGCAAACGGACAAACACACAAGTTCATTCAATACATAATGGTGAGAGGAATTATTCCAACTGTGCTGCAAAAACATCCAACAAATCTGAAAAAAAGCTCCCATCACCTCCTCAGAATCAGCTGATTGTTTATGCACAACAACTTTCATATGTTTATTGAAGTCATGCAAAGTTTTACCTTCGTACTCTGAATATTTTTTAGAGCTACAGGCCCTTGTAGTACACAGGAGTGTGTGGAAATGTCCTGTTTTTTAAAGCTGTATAAAAAATTTGTCTTTAGATTGTGCCACTTGGATGGATGTAAACTTGATTTGGTTTCAGTTTTTACCAGAACTCGAATGTGTTTTCAGCCCTAAAATAGTCGTGTGTTTATCTGATGTACTGATGAAGTCATGAGGCCCAGAAATGATGGAACAAGTAACACAAATCAAAGGCCTGTAACTCTGAAAATATTCACAGTATGAAGGTAAAACCGCGCATGACGTCAATAAATATACTAGAGTTGAGGAGGTCGTGTCGGAGGCACTGATTGATTTTTCATGGACTGAATCCAAGACTCACATTACACATGTAGTTGTGCCAAGAGCGAGTGACTTGAGGTAGTTTCTCCTTCTTCTTCCAGCTTGCTTGGGATCCCTCTCGCACTGGATCCTGTGGAGATAAAAACACTGTTTGACACCGTTTGCTCTGAAGGAACACGACAACAAGGACCAAGACGGATGGAGTGACATTAACAAAGCCCGCGCTGTTACTGCTGGGCGTTTAAATATATCAAATGAAGTGATGAAATGCACTTTACCAGATGTTTTACCTTTGATGCAATCATGTAGGGAGGGATTATTTCAACGTTTAACTCTTGAAATAGCTCCCTACATTGCATGCTCATGAAGTCACCGGCCAGGGGCGACTTGACGATGCCTGTCAAGAGACGAAACGAAACAAACTTGGTCATGAAATAAAATCTTTTAGAGATGGGAGAGGGTCCACATTTCAAATCCCTATCAGTTTCAACATTTACACACCTGTTTATCATTATACATAACCATAATGTGCCTTTAATGACACACTGATAAAGTTTCTCTGTATGTTGTTAACACGCATTTTAAAAAATATTTAAAACCACTTCTTCTTTTGCAACATTGCAGCTGTGACTCAGATAAAAATGCTGCAGCGAGCTGAGGTCTTTAGATTAAATTACTGTCACTACGGTATTTTGATATGTTGCGCCTAAATCCTTCTCCAGCACGTGTGAGACAAGATTTAATTCTTAGAATAAAATATTGCTGTTTCACAACAAGATTCAGTTTCATTGTGGTTTAAATCAACGACTTATATTAACATAACGGAAGCACAAATTATAATTTTTCGGAGCAACTTGCTTGATCAGTTGGGCTGATTTGCTCGCTTCAACCAGCAGGTGGCAGCAAAATGCACAGAAAAGAAGCACCTACATCAGCGCAGGACTTCGATTATAGGATTTCTTTTCGATAATGACTTCTCTCTGCAGCTATGTTTCAGCTTAATCAGCTGTGAATATTCAGAGTAACTGCCCACCTTGCTGCAGGACGTAGCCGTCGTGAACTGGAATTGCTGTGGTGTGTGTGGCTCCACTGTCCAGAACCAAACCTGTGGACCGACCGTTGGCAAAGCTTGGATTGTGAGAGTCAAGGAAATATCGTGCAGCTCGACTCAGATTTATCATCACAAAATGGAAGTTGGGGGCCATCATTAGAACAGGATGGTGATTATTAATTAAACCGATTTCCAGATGAAGTGAAACAGTGAAGGATACGCAGACAGCACGGCTGATTTGCAGAGGAAGAAGGCAGGAATGTTGTAGTGCTCAAACATCAGCTCTGTGAGTTTCTCCCGTTTTGCTCGCGTGTTCCACTGCAAACACAAAACAGAAGTTATAACAAATCACTGCCTGGCTACGCACGAGCCGAGGGGCCAGCGCAGGAAACCGACTCTTCACTTCCAATCCTTGCGTCAGCACACCTTGATTACAGCTAAAACAAAGAGCATCTCAAAGGGCAGCGGCGCTTTAAATCACCAACTCACACTCGCCAACTCTGCGGCCTTGGCACGATCGCACAGGACTCCAAACAAAAGCTAACTCACCGACGCTTCTGACATGAGCACTGGATGCAGGCTGGGTTCAGACTTGAAGTGCATCTTGTACGTGTGATCCAAGATGGCCTGGAAACTGTCCCAGTCCTCAACTGTAAGCAAGCAAGGAGAGAAAACAAGGGCAGGGCTTGTTAGCTGTCAAATCACTGTGAAGTTAATGCAGATTTCATGTTTTTAGGCAAATTCCACATCTAGCTTTTAGAAAAGTGGGGGAAGCTTGCAGAAACATATCGTCTTGTGGTTTATTTCTACATTATTTGTGGCCGACAGAACTCGGCATCACAGGAAGCGTTTGTCTTTCATCGTCGCGTCATCTCGGCTGGGTCAGATGGCGGAGAAACTAGAGCGATGAGGAGTTTTTTTAGATAATAATTTGAGCACCAATGTTCCAGGTCAGCCCTCTCAGGGAGCCGGTGGTCCCACGGTGCTGTTCTGCTGCAATTAAGATCGGTGTCACACTCGTCTCTAAATAGCCGCGCAGCCAAACGCCACCGGAACAGATTCTGACGAACGTCGCCAGCTAGGTCGCTTCTTTCATATCGGCGGTCGAAGATACGAACACAACTGCAAAATTTGACAATTTGTGGCTTTAAAAGCTTCAGATGGTGCTGAAACCATTAGTGGTTGAGCTGAACAGTTGGTTTATAAACTTTAACTAAGCTGCAAATAGAAGTAGTAGTAGTATTAATTGTATTATAATAATATAATAATTAATATTTATGAATGAATCTGCCAATTATATTCTAGATTAATCATTCAAAATGTTAAGGAAAGGTGGACAAATGCCGATTACAATTTCAAAGAGCCCCAGATTTCAATCAACAAATTGCTCCTTGTTGCCGAACAAATGTAAAAAAGAAAAAAAAACTATTATATTATAACTCCTATAATATTCAGAAAAATTAATAAATGAGAACTAATAATCAATAAATCTGTGATTTAAAAAGTTATTTTCTGCACAAAAATTTTTAAAAAAACTTGAATGAATAAAGATGGATTTCGACAATTTTTTTTCACGTAAATAAATAATTGAAGTCTTATTTATTTAAAAGAATAACTCACAGATCCGTCAATAACTTGTCAATACTTAATAGCTGTCAAATATGAAACACAGAATGATTTCGCACAGTAAACAAGTGTGAGAAAAATCCTACCACAGTTATAGGAAACAGACAAAAACCACAAATCAGAGCACGAGAAAAGTCATCACAATGGAGATTATTATCAGCGCTGGTTAGTGAGGGCTAGTTGTGGAAGCTGTGGAAAATGTGACCCACATTTGGATGTTTAGACACAAAAAATAAAGAAAGAAAAAGGATGAACACTTCCAAACGTGCGTGGCGATAAACCACAGATGGAGAGGGGCTTCAATCAAGAGGACGCTGGATATGGGAGAGCTCATGGTAATGAGTCGCCTTGGGCTTCAAATAATCTCATTAATATTTATGGGGACCAGTAGTCATCCGTACGTCAGTCAGGGCTGTGATGAGCTCACCTACAAAGTCGGCTGTCACACCGAAACAGTCTAATTATGGACGTGGATCAAGCAGGTTGGATCGTAAATATTCATGGCTGAGTTTGTGTCACAAACAAAGCCAACCTATGTGCTGTATGTTCGTATTTAGAACCTGTATGAAGATAAGAAGCCCATTATACAGCTTTAAAATAATTAGCACGCCACCTGTTGCATTCTACGCAAAATCCACACAACATTGATCGTGTTGTTATGACCTCGTAATCATGGTTAAATTACTACAGCAGCTTCTAAAGGGCTTGAAATAAATCTTATAATAAACGAATATGTGCATTAAATTATGTTTAAAAATACGAAACTGTAAAAGTTTCCAAATTCACACCAGCCAACATATTTTGAGTCACCACTACTTTGTGCAGACAGATAACAAACAGAGACATTATTAACTGGCTTAATATCAACTAACCGGCGTCAAACAGCATCATTGTGTTTTTTATAAACTTAAAGGACTAAAGTGAAAGCTGCTCAGACATAAGGACTTATATGAACTTAAGAAAACAAGGCAGTGTGGCTTCAACAAGAACCCCAAAGGAAGAGGCAGAAAACTGTGCTCACAGTGGCCTCATAATTATTTCTAAAGCTGAATTTGAAAACTTCCTGCGCCGGATATTACTGTCCATTCATGATTTAGCACAGAGAAACCCGCTGAGCACTCACTCATGCCGTTCTTGAGCGGAGACATGACCTCCATGTTCTCTCTGGGTACCCTCAGCTGATTGGTGTCGATGTAGTAGGTGGTGCCGCTCTGCTTGCCCTTGTCACCATCCGTCTCCATTGGCGTGCTGCCATCCTCTCGGTCCAGAGTCACGCCTATTACTGTGGGGAAGTCCGCCTGAGACCAAAAAGAAACACAGTGCTGGTCAGAACACATTCTCTGTCTCACACACACCACTTCACCAACATCAGCTTCTTGATTGCGTCATTAAAGTAAATATACCTGCATCACAAAGCCATGAGTTCCCACTTTTATGAAACTCTAAGGTGCTAAAATGTGAAGCAACGCTCCTCTGACTAATGAGGAGACACAACAGTTTGGAAACTCTAAAAAGTACCTGATTTGAATCTCTGAAATTCAAGCTGCTATTGACCAATCCATCTTGTAAAAACAGCTGCACGCTGGAACTCAAAGCTGCCAGGAATTGTCATGGAAACATTAAATATCACAGTCACACTTTTCCATGGGAAACTGATAAAGGGCAGAAACCTGATGCAACTGGTACGTCACAGCCAAACCCTAAAGAAGGTTCTTTTGTCTTTGTAGAAATAATAAATTGCGACATTTGTATTTGAATTTCAACTTTACTGAAGAGATTAGTCTGATGTAGGACAACAAAGTGGGGAAAAAAAGGAGATAGAGTAAAGATAAACTTGATTGTTTATGTTAGATGCAGGTATTGTTGCATTGATGCTGAAAAAACATTCTTATTGATGTTGTCTTACTGAATTTTTACCCTTTATGAAAGCTGTTGTTTTGTCCATTTATTGATTAATTGTGGTAAGGATGCTGCTTTGTGTGTCTGGTTGTTGAGGTTCTGTGTGGCAACAAATTTCCTGAAGGGAGGGTAAAGTATATCTTCATTAAGGACAGACTGATTATTAGCCGGGCCAATATTTGTCATTTCACTGATTATCGTATCGTTATTTCCATTCGTCGATTATCGATTAGTTAAATGCTCTACTTCAGGTCTGATGCAGCCTCTTCTCTCTGTCTGCCGCCACTCTGTGGTCTCACAAAGCAGAGACTGCAAAAACTGACCAAGAAACACAAGCCAAACCAGGAAATGAGCTCCTCTCACAGTGGCTAAAGCTACGCTAGCGGCTAAGTTAGAAGGCAGCCACAGATTAACCTGAAACACAGTCTGGAAAACAATAATGCTTTAAGATATGAACCCATGTGGGCAACAAAAGCGACAGAACAGTAAAAGATTAAGTAAACAAAGAAGAAATCCCACAAAAACAGAGGAGAGCTTCCTAATTTAATCACTCCTATTTCTATTTTACATATTCAGCAATAGTAACCTTCATTCATGAAGAAGCCTCGGTATGAATGACAGGTTTCCTGCAGTCACATGTTGTTAAAACATTACATTTATGTGTATTGGTTCCAAATATCGACCTTTTTGATGACCAATAATCGGCATTGGTATCGGCACCTAAAAACCCATATTGGTCAAAGCCTAATCTTAAGTTCTAGACAGCACGATTACTATGGGATGCTCTTATAGCTACCAGTTACACAAAATCAGTCTAGCAAACCAAGGAGGACACATGGCGTTGGTACGTATAAAGTCAGCATGCATCGCTATGAAAACAAAGCAGGAAAGTAAAAGAGCAAAGAGCAATGAGGGCAGTGTTTATGTCGTAGCTTTAGCATGTTGTCACGAGCGGTCCGGGACACATGCAAACTGTGGGACTTGCACAAAACCAGACTAATGAGAAAAACTTCCTCCAAAAGCCGTCAAGTGTCCACCTGCGACACTTTATTTCATTCACACAATCAACATCTTCACCTGAAGCGCAGAAAGAATCAAAACCAAGTAAGAACTCCAGAATGATCGGAACTCAATTTGTGCCGACTGTCTCCAGGGTGACGGCCCTCATTTCCCGACACCGGTGTGCCCCCAGAGGGAAGACGGCGACGCGCAGAGGAAGAAAAGACACATAGTTAATCAGGTCGCTTCAGCGATCCACTTACCTTAGGACAGTCTTCCCCTGCGTAGCCAGCTCTCACAGAATAAGAGCCGATGTCGAACACCAACGCTCCCACCTCATCTGCAGAAATGACAAAGGAAGGGGTGTGAATTTGATTTAAATGGTAAACTTAACATTAATTTGAATAAATGCAATCAAATGACAACATAGAGGGGAGCTGGTACTAGTTGTTTTTCTCAGCATAGAATATACATATTTTGAAAATTAGAGCTTTAAAATGACAAATTGCATTAAATTTTTTACAATAATCTGCTATTGTAACTCAATTTCCTTTTTATCTCAACTTTTCTCCACCTTACACACTATAAACTCCATAACAAATGGCATTATATCCACAAAGAAATTGTTGAAAAGTTTATGCTGTTTTTCACACAATAATTTACAAAAAGAAATCTAAATAATTCTTTTTTTACTGTCTTATTGAGATCTGTCAGTATCTAAATGTCCTTAATGAATTCATGGCTTTACCAACAGTGCTGGTCTATTAAATAAATGCTTTTATTTGTTCCCACTTTGATACACTAAAGCACAAGGAAACAACAGATCAGTTGATCAAAAGACAGCATGTCAATTATGAAAAAATATATTGCAATAATTTATGAAGCGAATCACACATTTCTGATGCCAGAGCTTCATGTATTGCAGGTTTCTTAGACAATGTTTCGAACACTTTAAAATATAATTTGTGGAATTATCAACATACATATGACAAAACACAGCATTTGGAGGATAAATGCATATCATTTAGCAGTATTCTTATCCTGCAAGTCAGATGGTATATTAACTATTTTTGCCTTAATGTAAATTCTCCCCTCAAATCTCAATAATTTACTGCACAGGTTGATGAACTTATAATGTCACATTTGGTAACTGTTTCAGCATCATAAAATAAGTAGTTAGAACGTTATATTGCCAAATAACTACATATATCCAGCTGTGCAAAAGGAATAAATGTAAAGCACAATAATGTAAATGTTCATTCTAGGGTACAGTTATCTCTACCATTCACAACGGCACAAATTACAGATATCACTCAAGTATTTAGAGCAGCGGATTCACTTAACAAACAAGTTCTTAGACCAGAGACGCCTCCAAGAGGAACGGCCACCTCAGATCTGATGGATCAAGTTCATTTAACTGCACTCTGATGTCAAAGTGTCAGTGAATGCAACTACAGTATCCGAGTGCACATGAAAGCAGCAATATACGACTGTAACGGCTGTGTGTAGCAGCAGTCAGTCGGCCGTGCGTCTGTTCATAAACACCATAGAGAACTTGAGACACAGTTTGCATGCCTTTTCTGACAGTTCAGTTTAGTTTGTCGCTTCCAGCTGCTTATAGGAGTCTTTTCTCTGAGTTTATGAAATGCCTACAGCATCAGACGGAAGCAGGATCCAAATAAGTGTCTCCAGGAATTGTGCAGATTTTAATGGCATTAACTTTAAACACCAGACAACAGCAGGATGACTATATCTCCAGAATGAAAGAGGTGCACAACACAGCAGAGCAGCAATTTAATTCATTAGTTTGAATCATAAATTATCCTCAACATGGATACAAGATAAACCGGGCTCTAACAGCGGGTCACACTATGTACTTTCTTTACCTCAAACAGGTGAGCTTGTACACACAGAGTTGCAGTTTATCAGCTGCAGGTAAATCATTTGTTACAGCTGAATCCTGAGCTCCATCACAGCTGGATGTTATATTACTGTAAGTGTCTGATCCATTTAGTAAAGTCGAAATACTTCTCTGTCATATCAAACTTTCTTTTTATGAGGAAGATTTATCCATTTCACAGCAGGACATTTTCTGCAGTCATTTTGTTGAGTGTATGTATGAATTACAGACTGTAATCTCTCCAACTATTAAACCGAATACAGCAAGGGGTTGCAGAGTAACAATGGAAATACATTTTACTGAGCCTTAATTGACTGTAGTTTGACAATTTATCACCACATATGGACAGATCTTTTAATATGTATGTAATAAACTATGTATGTTTAGCCTGTAAGTGGACCTTTCTCCCTGAAACACTCTGCAGCTTCACTTCTTCTGGGCTGTTTTGAACAATGGCCACTGTAGTAACCACAGCTGTACCTGCAGTAGCTACACAGTACATCAGGGTACTATAACATTAACTACAAATAAGTATATATCATCACCAGATTCCATATCTCTCACTTTGACACAGTTTCAAACTCGCCTTTCCACTAGAACAACATAATAGAATTCCTGGAATTCAGTTATAGCTTTTGGTTGTTGCGCTACCTCAAGACTTTCTGTGATTTCCAGTACGGAGCATTTTTCTAGGCGCCTCTGTACTAAACATCTGAATGCTAGCAGAGAGAAAAATAGGCGCAAACGTGACAAACTTTACAACTTCTAATACGATTTAATTTCAGTCAACCCATCACGCGGAGATCCTGGGAGCATAATAACGTTGTATTTACCGCTACACAAACTGAACGGGACGTTCTCATGAGCTCGGCAAGCCCACTTTCATTCATTTGGCGCTAGCTAGGGCTGCTTAGCATAACTGTAACACGAACTGAGCTTTAGCCACACAAGGACGAGGCGCTTGAAGTGATAAAAAAAAACATTTAAACCTAAACTAATGAAGATTAAAACTCGTATTGCCGCTAATGTAGCTTTAGTCCACCACGGAGCTAGGTGTTAGCACGGCTAGCATAGCCGGCTAACTACAAATGTGGCTAAAGCTACAGAACGTGGACAGCAGTTCAGTTTAATTTTAATCATTGGATAACACTCACCGCCTCCGTACACTCCGCCACTCATCCTCTACAGAATCACAACAGCAGCTTTCTTAATATAAGTTACTACAGCAGAAGCGCAACCGCTAAACGGTGAAGCACAACAAAGGGAAGCTGTTAGCATGGATCAAGCTAACAGAGCGGCGCCACACTGCGTCGAGGCAGCTGACCAATCAGAGTGCAGCATTTCAGGCTCAGCTGTGACGTTTTAATCAAGCGACTGAAAGCTCTTCATGCTCCGGAGTGGACGTGGCCCTGGTGATTCGATATCAACGTAAGTTTAAAACTGGTTATAAGTCGCCTAAATTTGCTTCGAAAGACTTAAAAACTAACGTAAAGTTCGCGTAAATGCAGAATTTAAAGCTGCACAGCGGCGTCAGTGAGTGTAAACAGCAGGACCTTGAGTCACGGTCGTTAGACTCAACAAGATCCACGCTGATCTCGGCCACCATGTCACTGCCTGCTGCAAAAGTAGCAACGCTGACAGGAACAAATGCATCACAAGTGCACAGTGCAAGTTGAGACGATCCGTGTAGTTAACATTAATTGGTAATTTATTTGACAAATGTCGCATATCTGAATCATAAATAAGTTTCCACAGCCTCGTGGTTTGTCCAAAGTTAGATTCATTGCGCAGGCGCAGTTGGTGGACATGGTTGAGTAACTTGTTGGTGGACACATTCTGTCTGGACACAGCCTGAGAATGGGTAAGGTTATACAGCCAGTTAGACAAGTGTGAATTAAATTAGCACAGCTCAGTAGAGATAAATCATAGCCTAATACGTTTTGCTTAAAATATGCTGTCTGCGATGTTCTTAATGCAAAGTTAATCTGAGTGTATGATGAAAAAATATCAAATTTTCTGTCAGTCCTGTGCCAGCCTGTTGACTGACTCATTCCTGGTAACATGTGCAGTCATATGCTGCTCTTTTGCAAGATTTGTAGTTGCTCAAATTTCCTCTTGATGGTCCGGCTATTTCAGCTCAGACCAAATCTCGTTCATAATATTATTAGCAATTATTGCATTATTGTTATTTTTGTAGTAATATTTATTAGAACAATGCATATTTGTTCTTATTATTTTCGAAATTAAAATGTAATTTGATTCCATTAAAAACAGAAGAAGAAGGAAAACAAAACAAAATGTGCCCAGACTCCAGACCTCTGTCAAGGACATGTATTGACTTCAGTCATTTGTGTTTAGTCTGCTTTAGTGAACTGCAGCAGGCTGATGATTCTGGGTTTGAGTTTTATCACCATGAAGTGTCAAACTTACAGTTAGTCATTTATGTTTAATTTTTAGATCATGTTGTGCTGTTAAATGTTTTCTAGTTTGTTTATTTCCTCATATATGAAGATGTGTTTTGGACAACGAATTCGTATAAGGTTATAGTAATAATTGGACTACTGCAAATACTGCATTACATCAATGCCATAGTGTTATTAAAGCTATTAGTAATCTAATGTCATCTATATATTATTGGGTTTATTAATAGTTAAATGTACTTTTAACCAAATATCGCTTGTTAATCAACATTTTATTGACTCGTTAAGTTAAAGTACTGACCAGCAAGGTGTTGCAAACTTTTCTCGTATCCAGATATCATGCATGACTAGCATTTAATTCTTAGTTTGATATATAGATAATAAACTTGATTATCGCCAAACATCCTCTGCTTCAGCATTCTTAAATTTCATTTGACTGCTTTCAAATAATTTCAAACTGAACGTCTTTGGATTGTGGACTCAGTCAGACAGAACAAGGCGTCTGTTTTAGGTGAAAGAAGTTATGACTGCATTTTTAACCATTTTTTACTCTGTTTATAAAGTTAACAGTTACTCTGTATAATTAGCAATAGGAAGATTAATCTATAATGACTCTCTTGGTAGAACTGGACTTTGTAGTGAGATCCTTTTTTTCAACATTCAAATATGGTTGCTCTTCAAACATGTAAAATTAATTTTTAACTTGGTCTCTTTCCAGCACTCATGCAGCGCTGCCTGACACTGACCCTTGCCCGGCGAAGCAGGCTCCTCTTGAGAAATAAATTTGCATCAGTCCGCTGCCAGCAGTCAGCAGCCATGTCAGGCCTCCTTATCAACCAGCCCAAATACGCCTGGCTGAAGGAGCTGGGTCTGTCAGAGGACAACCCCGGCGTTTACAACGGGAGCTGGGGAGGCAGCGGGGAGGTCGTCACCTCTTACTGCCCCGCCAACAATGAGCCGATCGCCAGAGTTACCCAGGCGACTTTGGCAGAGTACGAAGAAACCGTCCAGAAGACCAGGGAGGCCTGGAAGATGTGGGCAGATATTCCAGCTCCAAAAAGAGGAGAGATTGTGAGGCAGATTGGAGACGCTTTAAGAAAGAAGATCAAAGTCCTCGGCAGCCTGGTTTCTCTAGAAATGGGAAAGATCTACGTTGAGGGAGTTGGAGAAGTTCAGGAATACGTCGACGTCTGTGATTACGCGGTCGGTCTGTCCAGAATGATCGGTGGGCCCGTCCTGCCTTCAGAAAGACCAGGACACGCTCTGATCGAACAGTGGAACCCGGTTGGTCTCGTTGGCATCATCACGGCCTTTAACTTCCCCGTGGCGGTGTACGGCTGGAACAACGCCATCGCTCTGACCTGCGGTAACGTCTGCCTCTGGAAGGGAGCCCCGACCACTCCTCTCACCAGCGTCGCAGTTACCAGGATTGTGGCCGAGGTGCTGGAGCAGAACAACCTGCCCGGCGCCATCTGCTCCATGACCTGCGGCGGCGCTGATATCGGCACAGCCATGGCAAAGGACGAGCGTGTGGATCTGGTGTCCTTCACCGGCAGCACCCACGTCGGCAAGATGGTGGCCATGATGGTGCAGGAGAGGTTCGGCCGCAAGCTGCTGGAGCTGGGCGGAAACAACGCCATCATCGTGTTCGAGGACGCCGACCTGAATCTTGTGGTTCCCTCTGCGGTTTTCGCTTCCGTGGGAACCGCCGGCCAGCGCTGCACCACGACCAGGAGGCTGATGCTGCACGAGAGCGTCCATGACGCCGTGGTGGAGAGGATCGCCAAGGCCTACAAACAAGTCCGCATCGGAGACCCCTGGGACCCCAGCACCCTGTACGGCCCTCTGCACACCAAGCAGGCCGTGGATCAGTACCTGGCAGCCATTGAGCAGGCCAAGCAGCAGGGAGGCACTCTGGTCTGCGGAGGGAAGGTCATGGACCGGCCTGGAAACTACGTGGAGCCCACCATCATCACAGGACTGGCTCACGACGCCCCCATCGTCCACACCGAAACCTTCGTCCCCATCCTCTACGTCCTCAAGTTCAAGACGGAGGAGGAGGCGTTCGCTTGGAACAACGAGGTCCAGCAGGGTCTGTCCAGCAGCATCTTCACCAAGGATATGGGCAGAGTGTTCCGCTGGCTGGGCCCCAAAGGATCCGACTGCGGCATCGTGAACGTCAACATTCCCACGAGCGGAGCTGAGATCGGAGGAGCCTTCGGCGGAGAGAAGCATACAGGAGGCGGAAGAGAGTCGGGCAGCGACTCGTGGAAGCAGTACATGAGGCGTTCGACGTGCACGATAAACTACAGCAAGGATCTTCCTCTGGCTCAGGGAATCAAGTTTGAGTGAAGCGTTCAGGCGGCTTCTTGTTCCAGCTTCAGTGAGCCTGAAGGACAACACTACATGTTTGAAGCAGCCGAGTGCTGCCGAGCAAATGCAAGACGTTTGTCGTTGCAGGTTTTGCATCCAGAAAGGTCAGCTTGAATTTAGCAAAACGTTTTGAGTAAATTGGCTGTAATCTGTCTCATTAATCGTGTTTCAAAACAGTTTCTTTGGTTGTGGTTTTAGATATTAATCCTGGATTTGAAACGGTTTGTGTTAAAGGTCAAATCTCGTTTACCCCCCGAACGTGTGCACTTTTCTACAAGCACTTGGAAAGTGAGTTTGAGTGCTAGATGACTGTACCAGAAACCTTTATAATGTATAAAACAAAATAAATATCGCCTCTATTTTGGAGAAAAAAAAATCAGTCTCATGCATTGTTGTGCAAATAACATTTCCTCACAGACTGCAGAAAATAATCTTAGTAGATTTTCCATGTTCAAAACTAACAATTTAAGATTAGTAGCATGTAGCTCGTAACACTTTGGGTGTTTCCACATCATGTGCAGCATTAATATACTGAACTTTGCATCTAAAGCACTCTTAGAGGAATGAGTTGAGAGGAACAATGTACTCTGCAGACAATCAGACAGTCAATAAAGGGCATTGTGGTGACATGAGAATTTTCTTTTTCTTTTATTTCCAAACCGTTGTAAAGATGATGACGAGAAACAGCGTCGTGGTAAAGTGAGAGTAAAACTTGAATATCAGCAATTCTCTACATATTTTCTCAATATATTTTTAGGATTCAGTGTTTTCTTACTGCATCATTCAGGAGTCAGATGCTGCAAAATAAATAAAGATGCAGTAAAGAACCTGACAGATGACCAGAGAAAACATGTCCAGTTTGGATTTTTTCTTAAGAATATTATTGTACAATTTTAAATAATTGGATAAAATATCCATCCATCCATCCATTATCTATACACCGCTTAATCATCACTAGGGTCACGGGGGGGCTGGAGTCTATCCCAGCTGACTCAGGGCGAAGGCAGGGGACACCCTGGACAGGTCGCCAGTCTGTCACAGGGCTGGATAAAATATACGCAGGGAATTTGTTGAATTTAAAGCAGATTTGACAAGTTTACAGAGCAGATACAAAAGCACTTGAGCTCCATTTAGAAGCTGGAATACCACATGTAAGTCCGGTTTTATATTTAGAAATCAAAAAAATAAAAGAATGAGCGTTTAGAAATTGCGAAACGTGTAGAATATATTACAGACAGAAATCAAAGACAAAGGACAAAAACGGTGAAGGAATAATGGTGGTGTTATGATAAAATGGTAATGGCAAAAACTGAATTTTATTTTTAATTATCTTGCTAATACACATAAATAATCAAGCACCAGTAACTATCTGCTTGACGTTTCCATTATGGCTACACACTGCCTCTCAAACCCTCTAACATTCATATTTTAAATGTAATTTGTCCAAAAAAAAAAAACAATATTTGAATTGATAAATCTGTGCAGAGCTGCTGATCACCTACATTATTCATTATTTGATTTTTTAAAAATTATTATGAGCTGACAAAGGTACTAGATGCACCTCCTGTAAAAAAAAGAAAAGGAATTTTTTTTTTTTTTTTATTTAAGACTTTTTTTTCCCTCTGTTTTTAAAATTCACAAAAATATCAGTGGAATTTCAAAAATAAAATTGAAATTTACACGTTGAATGTAAAATATCATTAAATAACCTTATTTATCAGAAAACAGGAAACACATCCAGGGTACCAAAGCTTTTTTCTACAACTCTATTTCACAGACATTAAACTGCTCCAGTGTTACTGTTCAAACTACAATACATCCCATAATATTGATGCTCAAAGCAGAAAAATAGCGCTGAACAAAAACAGATTTAGTCCTCAGATTGTGACCCCTGGATCGAGCTCAAACGATCGTGTTGAACGTGTTTATCTGATGCACTGATGAAGTTATGAGGCTCAGAAATGTACCACAAATTAAAAAGTAGGACGTTTTAACTCACGTCTGTGTCCTTTAAGGGCCTATAAAACCGAAAATATTCAGAGTATGAAGGTAAAACTTTGCATCATTAAATAAACTAAAGCTAATGCACATAAAAAAATCAGCTGATTCTGAGGAAGTCAGGTGGGATTTTTTTTTTTTAGATTTGTGTGATTTTATATCAAACAAACCTCCACTTGCAGGGATATGGAGCAACCTGCCTTGAATCTGAATCAGTTAATTTAATATGAGACACTATTGTGATGAACTGTAGAAAACAGAACCTTTTCTTTTGTTAAGAAAGCATAAAAACAACACGTTGGAGTAACCGCCTAACCACACGGCTCTCCTGGATTGCAACACACTCGTGTGAGCAGACAGTTGCCGTGACTCGTCCTGTAATTTGTTTGACCCCCCTAGACTTGAGTAAATCCACTCTGTCCCTTTAACAGAAATACTACTCCATCTCCGGCGCTCCATATGCTCTCCCTCCCACTCGGCAGCTTCTATCTCAGACTCCAGCTCTGCCTCTCTCTCCATTTACTGCTCCTGCTAGCAGCATCTGCGCTCACTGCTGGGAGGAAGAAGTGAAACCACAGCGCTGTGTGCAGCTCGCAGTCCATGCCGTTTAGGACGTATGCAGAAAACGCCCACTTCCTCTGCTCCTCATCTGCACTGGAAACAGGTAGAAAAGCAATTATTGTTCTGAATGTACAGTTTGGGGTTTTTTTTTGCTGTGATGTGCTTGCATTCCTCTGCAACGTGCCGCCACAGTAACATCACCACTGAATGGGCAGAATGTGACATTAAATATGAAGGAGATGCACACATCCTGCTGCTGATTTTAACAAATCATGAGTCTCTGAACTCTGCACTCAGAGCTTGAATTGAGACTGAGATGGGTGTGGAGCTCCAACCAGCGGAAACACTGGTGTCTGTGGCAGCTCGTCTAACCAATCTGTTTATCTGCTATCAGGGGCTGTGTTTGATTTTCGAGCAGCCAGGAGGTGAAGCGTTCTTATCTCGTGTTGCTCGGAACCTGCGGCGCGCCAAAATGTCAAGTAAAAATAATCGTGGGCTCATGGTAATAAATTAATGATCATCTGGTATCACGGCGCTGCAGCTGAGGCTTTTCAGCGAGGTGGCATTAGCACACCGGGGTTGTTGCTCACTTCCGTTAATTTGTTTTTTTTTTTTGTTTTTCCCACACACACACACACACACACGCACACGACTCGTGCGATTCACTTCTTGGGAAACTCAGAGCTCGTCGGTCGATGCTCTGCGTCGCGCCCCTGATTTACAGAAGTGTCTGGGATTCCCCTGGACTCCAACACTCTCACTTCTTCTGTTTGCACATTTCCTCTGCAGCTTCTCCCTGAAACAGAAGCTTCAGGCCTCGTTCTGCACCGACTGACGGCTTCGGCTGGAGGTTCGACGTCTAACTGGTGCATTTGTTTTGGAGGGAAAGTTCCAACGCAGACGTTTGACAGGAAACATTTTAAAAGTGGCCTTTTAAACTGCGTGGATATTAAGTCCTGCTGACACACATGTAAAAACAGTCTCTGCTCAACCTCTAATGTTTTTCACACTTTGCATCTCTTTTATTTCTATTACAAGCTGTACTGAGATGTGCTGGTGAGCCCAATTTCCACTTTCACGGGCGGTAAAGTTATAAAATAATAAGAATAAATAAAAAAGAAAAGGAAAACCAAAGCTTGCACATACCATTTGTCTGGTTGTAAAGTAGTCAGGTTAATCTGCATCATTAATAAAGCTGCAGTCTTAATTTTTTATTATAATCAGGCATTCTAGTCAGCTAAAGTTGTATTTTATGTGATTTTTGTAGGGTTTTAATCCTTAATATTTAAATTAATCAGCTAAATCTGCTTCATAAATGAAACTGTAGAGTCTTAACCTCAGCATTTGTTTAATTTCGGCACTTTGGCTCAAGTTTTGGAAACAAAAATACATAATCCTGACTTGGTTGTAGGATTACTCTGATCTTTATCATGATGGTTTACGTGTCCTGTGAACTGGACGCCGTGTTTCTTCTCTGCTGCACGTCCTTCCTTCTGTCCTGCTCGCTCAGTGTTTGGCCTTTGCCATCAGCAAACCCGACTCCACAATCGGTGTCCCGCTCGTCGATAGTGTGACTCCAACACGACACGAGAGGCTTTATCGCGCACAAACGATGAGGGCTCTTCAGCGAGCTGCCGCTGTGACAGTGTCTCATGGGCCAACAATAGCACTGAGATTAGACAAGAACCCGACGCAGGGACAGAACAAACCGGTCCACAGATCAGTCCCGAGAAGCTGCATGAAAGTCGCTGAGGATCCTTGTTGGGTGACTAACAGAGGACCTGCTGGGGAGGCCTGATGGGACACGGCTCTAGTTCTTGGGTTTGGACTGAGTTAGATGCATGATTTCAGTAGATAAAGGATTCTCTTTGCAGCAGCAGCAGCAGCACATCCTCCACCTTATGAAGAAATCATTTACTGTAAAAAATGATGTGTCCAGTGAAGAGACGGTTGGGTCGTTTCCACCAGAACCAGTCAAACCCAAGATGCACCAGTCAGCAAGTAAAACCCTGAAACTGTCAACATCTATTTTCCTCATCACACGGAGAGCGAGCTCAGCCAGGCACGCATATTTTAAGTCACTTTGCACTCTTCAAGAGGGCCCTTTTTTCAATAATCCATTATGCATAGCAGCTCTGGCTCTCCCTGGTATTTCTCCTACCTTCTTGACGTCAGTTGCCATTTGTGAGGGTTACCCTGGCAACGGCCAGCCTCCCGGGGAGATGTCTGGTGGATAAGACGGCCCCGATAAAGCCTTTTAAGGTTCTACTGTTGCTACACCTTTTAATTGCCTTTGATACAGTGGAAGTATTACACGGAGGCGGTCGGGGCGTGTCGCCACATGTGGGCAAAATATAGCAGATAAAAATACGACGTCCCTTCGTGTCCACTCGGTCTGATCGTATTGGGATCATTTCTGAGCAGTCCTGGGAAACTCAGCTGGACGATAGAGCTGTTTTACTCACATGTGCACCACCCAGTTGAACAATGGGACTCTGTCATGCTGATGTAATATGTAAAGATGCAGCACACAGCCTCTCAGTAGTATGTGTTTACGGCATTATATGAAAACATGCAGGTCAGACAATAAGCCCCAAGTTCCCCTTTTGGTTTGCAAACTTGCACTTGCATGAGGATGCATTCAAATTTAATATAGCAGCATGCGGTAATTTTTGCATTTATGCAAAACATCAGTGACAAACAGTCTACTAAACAGACGTGTGGTGGTTTAAGACAACAATGAAGGCAGAGACCGGCTCCTCCAAACCACCTTCACATTCAAATCATCTGCACGGCCCTCATTGTCCACCGAGTTCTGTTACTCGCGCCGAGTTTGCATCGATGCAAATTCTCCTTCGCAGGCAGTCATACAGTTGTGATACTGTACGCGATACCTGTTCCCGTCTCCACCGTGCTATTTATAGCCTCGCCAACATGTGTGTCTTTCTTTTTTTTTCAGACACCAGCCTATTGATGTGCTATTTTTACAGTGTCAATTTGCTCCCTCCCTTTCCCTTTCGGTTGCCAAGCGATGGGCCGAGGGACCTGATTGGCCAAGGATGTGCTTTTGGAC